TTCCCTCAACACTAGGTCCTCATCAACTAGTGATGTCAATTACGGAAAATCGGAATACCGATACCAAACCAAATACCAACCAAAACCACGGAAAAATACCGAAACCAAACCAACTTGGGAAAATGAGGGAAATACCAACTTTTTACCGATTTCGTAGCCTCTTATATATTAGTGAGGGTTTATGATACCAACAAAATACCAAACACATTATGATTGAAATACCAAATACCAAGTTGGTATCGGTTTGGTATCGGTATACCAAAAAGTTGGTATCCGATTGACATCTCTATCATCAACTGATAAAAGTTACGGAGCCCTATTCTCCGTAGTGTTAAAGCTGGAAATCGACTGATGGCTCTTCGACTGATGAATGCTGACGCTGTTCGCGGTAAGAATTTACAGCTATTCTGAATAGGCTACCAGCTTTGTATTTTGTAGACAAACATTGCGCATAAGACCTCATTGGGAAATTGAATGCTGCTACTAATTTAATATTTGTGCTCAGGCATCTTGTATTTAAAGGTTTGTCGTAGAAATAAAAGGAAAATATGAAACAAAACTTAACAGTTATCCTGCACATGCATACTTGCGTTGAAACGCTTATTTCTGGCTCCCTAAATAGCTTGTACAGCTATTGTTCTGGCTCCGATATTATCAGCAAATCGGCGCTTTTTACCAGCCCTGGGATTTAGTTAGGGCTGCTGGTTTAAATGAGCAATTTCAAATGAAACGTTTGATACCGGAACTATTTTCAAAAATGATATTTAACCTCAGCTAACTTTGCTATTTTATGCAATTTAATCCAAAACACCGACTTTGATAAAATGATTTTAAAAGATTGTTAAAAATATCTGCTTTTTTGAAAAATTATTTCTCTGAAAATTAAATAATGACGATATAGAACAGGTATTTTTGCTGTTTAAAAGCAGACATTGGTGCGTCACTTATTCGTTCATTTTCCGTGCATCCTGCTAAAACGTTACGGCGCTAGTTCAATATGTCTAGTTTTAACGACACAGATGAAAAGTCGTGATTATGATACCCGGCAGGCTTACCGCCCCGCATGGCCCAGGCACGCAGCCCGTGACGTGTCTCACGAACGCACCAATTAAAGTCAATCCCGGCGTCCGGCGTCCTCAGATTCCCTCATTCTTCTTCAGAACAACTTTCAAACGATTGGACTTAGGAGTCTCTCCTCATAAACGACCGACATTTCGACTTTTCGGGACAGCTCCGTGTGCCTGCTAAGTTCTCGATCAGGCTCCTAAAACAAGACTCCGGATGACAGCTGGTATGGGCCTGGCGAGGTGACACACGAACGGTGGGCACAGCGGTCGGTGGGCACAGCAGAGAGGGCCGTAATGACGCGTCAGGGGGCAGATCAATCTTGGGCAGATCCCTTTGACGGCTCAGCGCTTCAGTTTCCACTACGGGAGATGTCCGAGCCAATGGGAAGGCTGTGTGGCTTGTGGTGCCTCTTCATCTTTGTGTGACTGACAACAGGGCTCCATGCCGTGAGACGTCAGGGTGCCGCACAAGGTAAGGTAACGTCAGGACGTCGTCCCATGAAACCAGTAACGTCAGGGTGACGTTTCGTGTGATGTCAGGGCGTCACTTCGTGTGACGTCCGCTGGCGTCTTCCAAAATCTTGCCCCGACACCTTGGCACCGACAATCGACATGCGTCCTGCCAGCCATGCGATGATGCTATGTTCTTTGTAGACTCGACAATATGCAAAGGTTATGCGCTGATGCATTATGCTGATTTATAAATACCATTAGCCACACTAGCTCCGTAATGCAATACCCGTCTGCCCGCCTTTCGTTTGGCGTAATCCGGGTCGCACATATTTGCAATGTGATCAGGGCAGATTTCGCGGTTTTTGCTGTATGTCACTGACGTCACTTCGTTAGTTAATCACCAGATGGCTTAATAGTGAGGTCTAAATCACTTACCGCGGGTGCTAGGTGTCAGAAATGCGTGCAACTAAAGACAATTATTACTAGGACCACCCATACATTGTTATGTAAGTGTATGCTGAAATAGGGCTCTGGTTTACGTTGCCCCTTTTATTTAACCCTCGCCGGACCTATTGGTTTTCTATATACGCGCCGGCCGGGGGGGGGGGGCAGGGGAGGGCGGGTACGAACCCCCTCGCCGTTTCTCCCCTAATTATAGAGCTAGAGCGTCGAGGAAAACCGAGCGTGTGCGCCGTTACGAGAAGCAGAGATTGATACCCCATTTCAAGGTCCTAGGTCAACCGGTGACCTCTGAGGTCAGGTCAAGTGCCCCAAGGTACGGTTCAGTTTTTGGTGAATAACTTCGCAAAAAACGGCCGCAGCGCTGCGATTTTGGCAGCATCGTGTTCGCCTCGCTCAGGCGCGTCGAATGATATACTTGTTGTTCGGGTCAGGTCTACTTGGGGTGTTGAGTTGACCTCGGGTCACAGTCAGGTCAGCGCCCCAGGTCACGAAATTGGTCGCAGGAGGTCATGTCGCATATCATTCGATTCGACAGGTCTTCTTGAGGTCATTGGTAGCTTTCCTGACTCGTTAGCTGTATTTGAGCGGGATTTATTGACGAAAAACTGAAAGACCCTAATGACGTCATAGATGGCTCACGCAAGGTCAACATTGCAAAAGTGACGCATCAAACCTTGCAAGGAGTGCATGAAATCACAATTCGATGTGCTTGAGATAGTTGGAGACCGTTCCCGTCGCCAGAATAGCAGCTCTCATTTTTCCAACATTGACTTATAATGGTGATGTCACGAAAATGACGTTTATGACCTTTAGGAAAAATCTGAGATACACAACCTGTGACTTGTGAGACTCCTTATGGATGCTAGGTCCTGCAAGTTTCATTTCCCAGTTGAAAGCTCCTCTGGCAGTGAGGGCGTTGCAAAGTTGCGACATCAGAAAACCGTGCAGAGGTTCACTTATGACGTCATAGGTCAGTGACCTGACCTGACCCGAAAATGCGGTTGACGTCGGAAGATCCGGCGTGAATCAAAGGTTAGGTATGCTAAGTTTCAGCTCTTTATCGGCAGCTTGTTCGGAGCTATCGCGAAAAAAAAACCTATGGGGGGGTCCGTCCTCCTCGCCCGGCGAGGGTTAAAAGAACTAACCAATTTTGCATAAACTTTCGACTGTCGCTGTCAAAATAAAATGCACATTTCGCTTTCATCTATAGCTTACTGTACTGCTTATTATTCATTATGCAGCTGTCGGATAATTATTTTATTAAATGTGTGTTCATCTCAGCCAAACGTGATCCCGTCTAGAAACATCAATAATAATGATAATAATAATAAGACGCTTTTGGTCGTATTACCCATTTTTTTTGTACCACCAATGCTGATACGCGACTTGTGACCACATAAACAATCACTTATCTGGAATAACGCTAATATTTGTGATCCAGTTTCCAAGTTAAAGTAAGTTTTTTTTCCTATTTCCGCTGTAGCACATGTCAAGTACATATCAGGACTCAGGTAGAACTGTATTTGTCAGATTGCGTCAGACTTCGCCGGGCTATCACACTTTGGCCTTTGATAGACTCCACGGTCGGAGTGTTATCCTATTAAAAATTTTGGGAGACGTCCATAATGATTTTCTCTCGCCCATCGTCGCTTTGACACTAAGACGGTGTTGGTCCAAGACCTGGCTAGTCCTAAGACCTAAGACTAGGCAGTTTCTTCCCCGCCTGATGGAGAACAGAGGTCTTAGAAACCTAATTACCGCTAGACCAGGGTCTAATCATCCTGAGCTCTGATCACGATATGACGTCCTATCGATCTGACGTGGCCTTTGACAGACATCTGGGGGCTGTCACCCACATACCGAATGATCAACTGTACGACTTTCGTACTATGTTTAGTTCTTCTTAGCTTCGGTATTCAGTGAGCTTCATTGCGACATCATCGATCGTTTATTGGTGAATGTGACGTCATTGATTTTGGGCGTTGAACCGGGAGGAGGCGGTGACCTGATTGAATATTGACCTGAGAGCTAACTCCGTTGGAGGGTGAACGAATATGCGGTTGGTCGAAGTAGGCAGAAAGCCGCTGTCGCATGGATGCACGAGCTTAATACTGAGGGTGCAGGCTCTTCACAGCACCGAGTTTATAGCGACCAGACTACACGTATGCCATTTATGCGATTTGATATCTATATGTATGTACATATTTGGATTTGTTTGGTTGAGTTTCAGGTCCATACCATTACGCCAAATTGTTGTTAACCCTCGCCGGCCGAGGGGGTGGGGGGCAGGTGCCGCCCCCATAGTTTTTTTTTGCGATAGCTCCGAACACGCTGGCGATAGAGAGCTGAAACTTAACATACCTGACCTTTGATTCAACCCGGATCTTTTGACACCAACCGCATTTTCGGGTTAGGTCAGGTCACTGACCTATGACGTCAGAAGTGAACCTCTGCACGGTCTCCAGATGTCACATATTCGCAACGCCCTCACTGCCAAAGGAGCTTTCACAGAGAAATGAAACTTGCAGGATCTAGTATACATTACGAGTCTCACAACTTTTATTTCTCGGATTTTTCCTAAAGTTCATATGAGGTCAGTTCATTTTCGTGACCTTAACATTAGGTATAAGTCAATGGGGAAAAATGAAAACTGCTATTCTGGCGCCGAGAACGATCTCCAACTATCTCGAGTGCACACAGAATCGTGATTTTCGGTGACTCCGATTCCGGCTCGGGTTTCTAAAATCGACTCCGACTCCGACTCCGACTCCGGTCACAACTGTCGACTCCGACCGACTCCGACTCCGACTCCGGCTCCGACTCCGCAGCCCTGCCTGAAAGCTTGCGACCAGTATACGCAAGCTTGCCTTACAATATAAAACCATTATCATCCACCATTGTAGGAGTAAGATAAACTTCCGGTCCAGGCTCCTTGCTCCGGGCAGTCACTGTCAGTAATACACGCGTCTAATCCCTCTCTATAACGCTCCCTTTTCTGTGTGTTTTCAGTGATGAGGACGTGACGTCATCGGCGGCCGGGGCGTGACGTCACCACTGGGCGGCGGCCGCGGGGCATGTGGGTCGGTCCGGTATGCGTCTGCCGCTCGGGGGCCGTCTGACGCTGCCGCCGCTGGTCCTGGTGCTGGTGCTGGTGGTGGTGGTGCTGAGGTCGGACTGTGCTGCTGGTGCGGGCCGCGGCAGGCGGCAACTCACTGTGCTTGGTCTGTTCGACATGGACGCGGCCCGGTGCCGGCGGGCGTGCGGCCGGGCGCCTCATGAGGGTCACTCGGACCTGGCGGCCGTGCAGCTGGCGGTGCAGCATGTCAACCGGCGGCGACTGGTGCCCGGCTATCGGCTGCGGCTCATCACCAACAACACCCAGGTATTGTTCGTAGCGGGTCACCAACAACTCACGGGTATATCTATTCTCCATGCAGTGGTCACGAGCAGCTCACGGGTCTCCAGTAATGTCCCCATAACTCACCAGCACACGCAGGCATTTTCTGGCAGGTCATCAATAACGTACGGGTTGTGTCCCCAGGAGGTTACCCGGTACAGCTGCGGCAGCTATAGTTCATCACACTCGGGTGCTGAACATTTACCAGAACACAGAAGTGCTATTCGCACAGACCACCAACATGCTACCACCAGTCGGTTTTTACAGGTGATCAATAGACTGATTAATCTCCGGTTTCCGGTTAGTCCCACATAATCAGCGCCATTGCTAGGTCAAAGGCGAATTCCTAGAAATCCGCAAATACCTCACTCCGGGTCTGGAACGAGTCCGAGACAAATCAGTGTGTAGGGGGCGGGGAAGGAGAGTGGACCGCGACCTTTGAAGCGGAACCCCGGGGATGCCACGCCGAGCTAATCTCTCAATCAATCTAACTTCTGTGCCGCTGTGACTCCTGACATTTATGTAGTGGCACTGGCTACCACAGACTTTGGTGTTACATTCGGGTAATTGCCGGTCAGAGTTTGGATCTCAGACATTAGTGGCTATGACTGATTGAGGAACAGCGCAACCTGCATTGGTTGTCAGCTTGCCCATGTAACACTATCGTGAAGGCGAAGGCAACTAACGATGATCTTTTGTGTGTTTGAATGACAGTTTGTAATGACGGTGCGTAATGATGTGTTATGATGGGTTACAATGACATTATTCTAGAAACATCTATATCAATGCCCGTCGCTCAACGCTCGCGACCACCAACCACGGCAAAGTGTCACTACTCGCCCGTTTCCTCCCGCCTCACATCTCTACCGCCGCCGCCCACCGCTGCACTGGCCCACCGCTCTGGCCCTCCACCCGCCGCCCACCGCCCACTGGCCTCCGCCCACCGCCGCGCCGCCCACCACCTCCCATCTCTACCGCTGCCTGTCCCTCCGCCCACCGCCGCGCCGCCCACCACCTCCCATCTCTACCGCTGCCTGTCCCTCCGCCCACCGCCGCCCCGGCCGCCGTGGCCGCCGCGATCCACAGGAAATGGAGGTGATTAGCTGGAATACAGCAGCTAATGGGAGGCGGCTGGTGACAGCGGCGGCCGTCGGCCACGGCCGTGTCCCCACTCACACCGCCCGCTGGCCGGGCGGGGCCGTCGCGGCGGGGGAGATGGGTCGGGGTCGTCGCGGCAGGGGGAGACGGGTCGGGGCCGTCGCGGCGGGGGAGACGGGTCGGGGTCGTCGCGGGTCGGGGCAATCCCTGCGGGGAGACGGGGTTGGCGTTTCCTGCTGGGAATACAAGAGGAGGAGATGGTTCAGAGAAAAGGAAAGGATGATAAAAAACACGGTTTGAAAGCGTTTAGGGGTGCCGCTAGATATTCGAGAATGCCGGTAGCCAGATGGAAACTCGAGGATGTCAGTGGCACAGAGAGACGCGAGTCCCTCCGATAGGTACCGGATAAGATACAGAGTCTGCAGAGAGACCTCGCCACCTGCCCCACATAGACCCAAAGTAGGTAATTGTGGTTGAGCTGTGATAGCTGGTAGCCAATCGACAGCGACATGAATGTCACGCGAATAAGATGCTCCGTCCGGTACTGCAGACTGAATGTGTCTATCTATCTGAGAGATGTCCTAGCCCGCGCCCCGTAGGGCTACCGGCGGACCCTACCACCCGTAGGGGGGGGGGGGGGGGCCGTTTCGGCCCCCCCCTAAGATCTCGGAAAGTTACCGGCCGATTTTCAAAATTCAAACGGCGTTCGATAGCCCCACCCGGGAACTACCTTGTGACCAAATTTCATTGACCTAGGTCAAACCGATGACGTCACAGGTCAGGTCAAAGGTCAGATTTTCACCGTTCACAGGTGTAACAAATGTAAAAAGTAAATAAACAATTTCTTCTTCTGTGATAGTCTGTTTGGGGACCTCTTGTTTCAGCCGTATAACCAACACGGTTTTTCTTTTCTTCAAGTTTGTATTGCAAATTTGACGACAGAATCCAAAAGTAATAAACAGTCGGCCGAGACTTTGAATAACGATACGTCAGGCCGCTACGGCGGTTGGCTTTCGAATGAACCTTTCACAGCTACTGCTCGGCGTTCGGCGTCGGCCGCTATATTCAAACGTCATACACACACGTCATACATATAGATGTACGTCATATCATAGCACCAATCAGAAGCGGGCGAGGACAGGCGTCGCAGGTGAGGAGTGAGGACCATATAAGGGTATTGTAAGTGGGCGAGGGGGCTGGGCAGTAAGTAGGTACAGAGGGAGGTGGAGGACGGGGTAGGAACGAATTTCGTTACAACAGGCATTTCAAGAAATGTGTTGTGAAATCGAGTTAATTGGTAATTTATTGAAAACCATCGATGGTACATTGTTCGTCAAACACATACTTTGCTATCTGAGGTCACTGATACCAGGTCAGGTCACAGCGAGGTCAGGTCACCGGGGTCACAATATGAAAGTGTCGTGTGATACATGTTTTATGGTCCATTTTACATGACAAATGCGATTATGTGGGCTAGGCAGCCTTTGGGGCCAGCCTAGGTCACGTTTTGGTGAAGGTCAGGTCAAGGTCAGGTCAAATAAGGTCAAATTTCAAAGTTGATATTTTTGCATAAAATGGGTATCGATTCGATGCAGCTCGTCACGGGGAGTCTAATGGTGGTCTTTGTTTTGCTCTACGAGGTCTAGAACTGCCAAAAATTGAGTTTGAAAATTTGACGTCATCAATTTTGAACAGTTTTTTCGCTATAACTTGGCCAAAAAACGAGGTATCGATCTGAAATTCGGTATGTAGATAGAAGACGGTAGGTACTATCACATATATTCCGGTTTTTTTGAAACTCAAAAAACTTTTTGGATTTTTTGGCTAGTATATCCAAAAAAATGTTTTTTTGATTTTTGGGGTTCAAAACTCAAAAATTTCAAAAATCCGAGATAGCAGTTTTGTAGCCCTGTCAATTCTACACCTTTTATGTCTTGATCACTTTTCTGTATCTTCAAAGCTGTAGGCCTGACAGGTCTTCTCGCGAAGGTCTTTTTTCGGTCGAAAATGACAGAACATGACGTCATTCTGACGTCATTTGTGGCCAACCTATCATAGCCTCTGGAAAATTTTGGTCACAATGTGTAAAATTGATGCCCGGAGGGGTCCTGAAAGTTTGGTGGCGATATCTGAAGCGGTTTAGGAGATATCGACCGAAAAGGACAGGGGGGGCCGTTTCGGCCCCCCCCCCTACGGGGCGCGGGCTAGATGTATTATGCTCTCGTTCTGTGTTGTTCAAGAAAATGACATTCACCGTCGGTAGTCTGCCGCCCTTCCGTGATCCTGACCGCAGGGATATGTGTTGCGCCGCAGTGCAGCGCCGGAGTTGGGGTGGACGCCTTCTTCCACGCTCTATACACGCGGAAGTCGAGCCGAACGATAGCACTGATCGGCACCGGCTGCTCGGAGGTGACCGAGCACCTGGCGCAGATTGTCCCCTACTGGAACATACTGCAGGTGAGATGAACAGACACATAACAAGTCAGAATAGAACAGGACAGGACAGGTCACCGAGCACATGGCACAGGTCGCCCCCTTCTGGAACATACTATCTGTAAAATGAACCGGAACAGAACAGGTCAGGATAGGACATAACAGAACAAAACAGAACAGAACAGAACAGGATATGACAGGGCACCGATGGTCGTGCTCTAGTCACTAGTGGAACATACTGCCGGTGAGCCAAATGGACTACATACCACAACAGGTCCGAACAGAACAGAACACCTGGCACAGATCGTGCCCTGCTGAACCATGGTACAGGCGAGTGTAACAGAATAAAACCCGAGGCGCACAGTGCTGAACCAAACCAAATGATTAACCAGTGGGCGAAAAACATACACGCTACGGATTGGGTTATCGTAAAAAGTGGTTTGGACCCACGAGCACTAACCGCATTATGCCAGTTTGCATTATTTCTCAATTCGTGACCGTCGGTTATTATTTCACTCGGCCATTCGATGGCCCTGTATCACGTAAACAGGCAATATCTCATAATTGCATGCCCTTACCCTCACTCATTTTCGCGTGTTCAATGATTATGTCTACTTATCTCAATGAGTTTCAATTATGACCGTAATAAATGTTGTGTCGGCTCACAACGTATGATGTAGTTAATTTAGGAAAACAATGACCGTTTAACATAATATAAATCTAATTTCGCATACTTTGCTCAATATAATACGTTATTGTCATCAACCTCACCTCACGTTTCTGATTGTTTTTGTCTCCGGTAGATGTCGTTTGGGTCGTTCTCGCCCGTCCTCAGCGACCGCACGACATTTCCGCTGTTCTTCCGTACCTCGCCGCCCGAGTCGGCGCACAACCTGGCGCGGCTGGCGTTTGTTGCGCACCACCGCTGGGACGCCGTGGCGACCGTCAGCGAGAACCTCAACGTGCACACACTGGTGAGAACCCTGGCTGTGAGGATCTCAACGTGCACACACTGGTGAGAGCTATAGGAGCAGTGAGAACCTCAACTTGCACACACTGGTGAGAACCCTGGCTGTGAGGATCTCAACGTTCACACACTGGTGAAAACCCTGGCTGTGAGGATCTCAACGTTCACACACTGGTGAGAACCCTGGCTGTGAGGATCTCAACGTACACACACTTGTGAGAATCCTGGCTGTGAGGATCTCAACGTACACACACTTGTGAGAACCCTGGCTGTGAGGATCTCAACGTGCACACACTTGTGAGAAATATAGCAGTAAGAACCTCAACGTACACACGCTTGCGAGAACCCTAACGTGCGCAACTCTTCACTTTGGGGCTCAGTCGTATTTGTACATACCGGCTCCAACAGAGAGTAGTATCCGACCACCTGTGACGTCAGCGGGCAGTCAGGAGACGTTAACATTTGTGTGCAGCTTGATGAATGGACGTTGCAATACAAAGTTGAGCGAGGAATCTCTGGCGGTAACATTGTTATCATATCATGCTGAGCGATAATAAGTTATATCCCATTACGGCATTCTTTAACACATTCTTATCGTATCTGTATCAACAGGCGATGAACGAGCTGGTAACGGAGCTGGAGGCGAACAACGTCACGCTGCTGGCCACGGTCACACTGGACGCCAACGACTACCGGGAGCAGCTGAACTCGCTAAAGGTAACATTGACCTGACCTGACCTGACCTGACCTGGCGTGGCCTGACCTCAGCTGACCGACCTGACCTGACCTGGGTTAGCTAGGCCTGGCTGTTATACCTAATTGACGAACGTGTTTGGATTCAAATGGCGTCCTTTTTTCACGAATTTATGGCTGTTGAAGACATTTACAAGACACAAGGCATTTATCGTGTATCTATGGGCATGCAATATATGCATTGATGATTCTCAAATATCCTGCAATTGAAGCCTAAAGGAGCCAAGCCAATGAAGAGGCCGAATCTCACTGAAATATCGTGAGAAGCTCTTTCTCTTTCGCCTCGTCCCCGTGGGCTATCTGTCGATCGTTAATGCTTTAATTTAGATTGCCTACTCTCGACGGAGACCGTTGAATATGAAACGAGGGTCGACCGGCGCGACCCCCGAGGCACGGCACGGGAACTGGTTGGACGACGGGGTCGAGCGAAGAGCCTACCTGGAGAAATATCGCTCGCCACCTACATAGCTACCGCAGCATAAGAGGGTATGCCGGACTCTGAGGGTCTGTCCTTTCCCTGCAGGGCCATGGCTTCCTCGGCTGCCGGAAGATGAACCAAATACCGTTTACTCTCTGCTGGCACCAGCTGCTATTCCGTCTGCCGCGACCCGTACTGTTGATATAAGCTTATAACGAATGCCGCGACCTTGATCTTTCTCCGATATTTGTTTTCAATGGCGGCACTCTTTCTCCGGCACTCCCGCTCTCCTCTGTCTCTCTCGTTTTCCCTCTCGTCACCGCTCTTTCCGTCTCCTGTGCCACTCCACGATCGCTCGGTTGCGGAAACACGCTGAGTCTGCAGCTCTCGTATCCAACTGCGGGAGGTCTCTGCAGAATTTTTCCTCAGCTACTCTCTCTCTCTCTCTCTCTCTCTCTCTCTCTCTCTCTCTCTCTCTCTCTCTCTCTCTCTCTCTCTCTCTCTCTCTCTCTTTCCCTCCTATTTCTCTTCCTCTATCTTCCTCAGTCCCTCTGTCCCTCCGTCTATCTTCCTCCCTCTCTTCCTTGCTCTCTCTCACTTCACCCTATCTCTCTCTTACTCTTCCTTCCGCTTTCCATCTGACTGAATTATTGCCAAGAAGACCACGCGCTAAAATTTTCGTCAGTCATTGAGATTTTCATCAATCATCTGTCAGTAAGTCATCGGTTGAAATATCAGTCAACATTTCATTTTAAAATGTTATGATAACGCATTTACTTAACCTTCCAGGCGGTGGGGGGGCATTTTTTTTGCCCCCCCCCTTTAGTTTTTTTTTTCGATATATCTCGAGAACCGCTGCGCCGATCGTCACCAAACTTCCAGTACCCTCCCGGGAGCAGCTAGCGCACATGGTGACCAAAAATTTTCCAAAGGCTATGATAGGTTGGCCGCCAATGACGTCAGAGTGACGTCATTTTTGCCATTTTCGACCCAAAAAAAGGTTTCGCGGGAAGAGCTGTCAGGCCTACAGCTATAGAGATACAGAAAAATGTTTCAGACATAAGAGGTGTGGAATTAATAGGGCTACAAAACTGCTATTTCGGTTTTTCGAATTTTTTGGATTTTGCCCCCAAAATAAAAAAATAGATTTTTTGAATATAATAGCCAAAAAATCCTAAAAGTTTTTTGAATTTCGAAAAAAAACCGGAATATATGTGATAGCCCCTACCGTCTTCTATCTACATACCAAATTTGAGATCGATACCTCTTTTTTTGGCCAAGTTATAGCGAAAAAAACTTCAAAATTGATGACGTCAAATTTTCAAACTCAATTTTTAGCAATTCTAGACCTCGTAGCGCAAAACAAAGACCACCATTAGACTCTCCGTGACGAGCTGCATCGAATCGATACCCATTTTATGCCAAAATATCAACTTTGAAATTTGACCTTTTTTGACCTGACCTTGACCTGACCTCCACCAGAAAGTGACCTAAACCGTACCTGATGGTCTTATAACCAACACCATTGAGTTGGAAATGAAAAACTGGCCATAAAATATACATCGCATAACCCTAGTAAAGTTGGGCTCATGTGGTGACCCTTGGTGACCTTTGGTGACCTGACCTGTGACCTGACCTGGTATGACCAGTGACCTCTAATAGCAACATATGTACTAGACAACTGACGCCTTATCGCTGATTTTCGACAAAATGCGTTTTACTCGGTGTTAAAGCGCTTTCCCTAGAAGCCCCGTGAACGGTGAAACATTTTACCTTTGACCTGACCTGTGACGTCATCGGTGACCCCAAGGTCAATGAAATTTGGTTTCCTTCGACAAATTTGATAGGGCTATCGAACGCCGTTTGAATTTTCCGGATCCGTCCAGTAGTTTCGGAGATACGGGGGAGGGGGCAAAAAGTGCCCCCCCCCCACCGCGCGGAAGGTGGCTGGTGGGCCCACCGCCTGCCGCATTTCACACTTAACCATGATTGCTTCTTCCAAATCACGAACAACTCACTTTCATCTCCCTGCTATCACCACTGACACTAACAACTGCTAACAAATCTCCTCCCTGCCAGATGCCCCTACCCCGTCACCACCCGGGGCTGGTTGCTGGTTAGTATTCCGATGGACGCAGTGCCTCCAAGCCAAGTCAACAAGCAGCTATGGTACTGAGTTAGCCAAGTCAACAAGCAGCTATGGTACTGAGTTTGTCGGCACATGTACCCATACAGTGGCCCTCGCAAAAGTGACGTTGCAAAAAAGGATAACTAAAAGAGGACCGGAGCCTGGTTGACTCCAAAAATGGTTTATGCGTCCAGCAGATCTATTTAGTTTGAACGGCTTTGTTCATGAGCAGTAAAAAAATGGGATAAACTGAATTAAGATAATTCAATATGCACAATGAATGGATCGAACAATATGCCAATTATAGCAATACAACTAACAAACTTATGCTTCTTTTGTAACAAATGAGAAGCTAAATAACAATTGTTATAAAACAAAGAGATAAAAAGGCCCAGACTTACCAACAGATATTGAGCCATCGCGCCGGAATGGATCCACTTAAAGCATGTACTGGTGTGACATCTAGCTGTAGAGTGTAGATTGATACATTGTCGCCGTTTTGCCTGGTCCCATATTTGCTAAGCGTCGCGTACATCCGCTGTCAGCGGCTGTAGAGCTCCGTCTACTTTGGACGCGTCCCGCTGGACTCGGCAGCATGCCTACGCAGCGAAAATCGGCCCCACAACGCTGCGTGAGTGGCTGAAAGAAAACCGATGATTGAGTCAGCTCGACGAAAACGTCTCATCAGCGTTCACAAATGCCTACCGATGATCGAAAGTTAGCTGGAGTGGGCCCGAGGGCATCACTTGGTTCCAAATAGCTGCACTTATGTGTGCGCTGGCTAAATCGTATGCATTTCCGATGGATGAACATTGTGGATATTTCAGTTGATCTTCCTGCACTAAACGTCTGGAAGATCGTCTGTGACATTCACATGTGACATACACACATAAACCATTAACTACGAGCGATATTAACCACAGTCTACAACTGTATACATTACAAACTATGCATATTTTATTTCTTTCATTGATTGAGATGTCTTTCGAGCTTTTATAGCTGTTTTCGAACGATCACCGGATCGTTTCTCCCACAAAAATTATTCTCGTCACCCTCTGTCGCCACCCGCTTTTGAATGGGAGTTATTTCAAAGCTTGCAATACCAGTCAATACCAAAACGATGCCTCTGCCTTTGTTTCAGGATCGAGACGTTCGGATCATCATTGGCAGCTTTTCCACAGCGATGACGGGCAAAATATTTTGCGAGGTATGTGTTTTTGTCTTATTGATATCTTATTAAGGAAATCAAGCATGCCACAACCTATTATCAGTGGCGCAGCCATGGGGGTGAAAGGGGTGAGATCTCACCCCCGTCTCTTATCCTAGGGGCCCACCGTCGATTCGAACTGTAACGTTATGCAGCCTGACAATTTTTTATCACTAATGTCAAGGTCCGTCATAGGACTGAAAAACAGTTTTCAGGCCTGATAGCCCCCCTTTAGGATTTATAGTCCCATTTTATGATTTAAGGGGGTGCATCCAAGGCCTAGGAGGGCCCGTTCCATGGCATGAGAGGGCCATTTCAGGCCTGAGAGGGCCCATTTCAGGTCTGTGAGGGCCCATTTCAGGCCTGAAGGGACCCAGTTGAGACTTGGGAGGGCCCATTTCAGGCCCTAGAGGAGCTGTTTGAGGCTTGAGAGGGGCCCATTTCAGGCTTGAGAGGGCCCATTTGATGCCTGTGAGGGCCCATTTCAGGCCTGAAGGGGTCCCTTTCAGGCCCTAGAGGGCATGTTTGAGGCCTGATAGGGCCCATTTCAGGCCTGAGAGGGGCCATTTCAGGCCTGAGGGGCCCATTTCAAGCTTGAGAGGGCCCATTTCATGCCCTTGAGGGCCTGTTTGAGGCCAGAGAGGGCCCGTTTGAGGCCAGAGAGGGCCCGTTGAGGCCTGAGAGGGGCCCATTTCAGGCATAAGAGGCACCATTTCAGACCTGAGATGGCCCAGTTACGGTATGAGGGGCCCTTTTTTGGACATGATAGGGACCATTTCCGGGCTGAGGGGCCCATTTCAGGTCTGAGAGGGCCCATTTCAGATCTGAGAGGGCTAATGTCAGGCCTGAGAGGGCCCATTTCAGGCCCTTGAGGTCCTATTTGAGGCCTGAGAGGGGCCCATTTCAGGTCTGAGAGGGCTAATGTCAGGCCTGAGAGGGCCCATTTCAGGCCCTAGAGGACCTATTTGAGGCCTGAGAGGGTCCACTTCAGGCCTGATAGGGGCCCATTTCAGGTCTGAGAGGGCCCAGTTCAGGCCTGAGAAGACTCATCCCAGGAATGAAATGATCATCCTATGTGTGGGAGGGTCCGTACTCCGTGCCTGGTCTGGGTCTGAGAGGGCCTATCCCAATCCTGATTGAGCCGATATCATGTTTGATAAAGGTCAACTCACCACATGTATATTGATGGCCCAGTTCATGTCTAATGGGCCCATCTCAAGACTCAGAGATTTTATGCTTCAAGAAGCCTACCCCAAGCGTGAGGGGGCCCATAGAGGTTTTTGAGGCTCATGGAGGTCCCGCAGTACGATATGTCAGCCTCTGAGAAGGCCATGCAGGGCCCTTAAGATGCCAAGCCGACATCTGAAAATTCCTCTTCTCTTCATTCGCCTGCCTCACCGCCCGGCCCCACCCTGACGTCTAGAGGTTTCACGCCTAGGTATTCATCAGGACTCCACACCGGTCCATGATGGCTCCAAACTGACACCTGAGGCTCCTGCACCGGCTTTTGAGGGGCCCACCGACCTCTGATAGCCACCACGCAGGTCTCAAAAGACCATGTCGATTGTTGATAGCTAACCCCCCCCCCCCCCCCGAAGTCTTGGAAGGCCTGTGCTCTATGCAGATTCTTGAGGGCTTTACGTGGGCTTGTAAACATCCCGAGCTGGCTCTAGCCTAGCTCGACCGCGCCCCGCAGAGCAGGGCCCCAGGCCTTCCAGTTTTACGCCCCTGAGGGGTGTTTGAATATTCCCTTCTAACCTGACTAGCGACAAGTGCGGCGGTAGCGACTGACTAGCGGTCACGTAGCGACAAGTGCGGCGGTAGGCGGCTTTCTAAAGAGCGTCGAAAATCATGGAGAAATTACTTCAGTCATGTTGCAGTTCAGACCAAAGCCCACGTCATCATGTTCATCGAAGGAAAAGTTTCGCTTATTTCGACACTCAAGGACGTATAAAGCTATAGCGCGCTGCAAGTGGGTTCGATAGCTCTCTAACGCGTGCAATCAGCCATGGGCGGGGGGGGGGGGCGTATCGGCCAAACCCGTCGACCCGATCATAATTTAAGAAAGCAAGAAAGACGAGAAAAGCAACAGATAGCTGTAGGATGCTTCAGAATCGTAGAGGTCATTTTTCGATTAGATCATCGCTGAGGTCATCGAAGATGAAATTATGATAAAATTGTGATAAACACAAAGACAAGATTACGACGAAAAAATTCTAGTTTTTATATTTTCACAAATAACCGTAATAACTCGTGAACCAAAGAGCTAGAGCTTCGCGGAACAACTCATTCGATAGGCCTTTCAAAACGCTGTCGGCTGTCGCTTTTAAGATTTGACCTCAATGCCTCATGTCAATGGTTTGGCTACAGAGCAGAGGGCAAAACCATCTAAATAGTCGCATTTTACCAAAATAGTTTTGCTAAAAACTTTTGCAAGAACTTTGGTGAGAAAAATTATGAGACATTTACTTTGCCATCATTCTCTCGTTAACATGCATCGAATGTTAAAAAGGAAACAGTTCACTTTCCTGAAATTAGTATTTTGCTATGGATTTACGATTTTTTATGCTCAAAATGATCAGAAAATAAAATAAAACCTTTTTGTAAAAACAATTATTTTCTATATTTTAATATAGGACGAACTATATTCTATGTAAAATAATGTTTGACGCGGAAGCTTATTACGCGTTGACCAATCATATTGCGCAGTTCAAACCTACGCATGCTGCATTAGCTGTAAGCAGCATGCTGATTGGCTGACGATGACGTGGCTGCATTACTGTGCAAGGCACACATTCCTCTGCAAGGCACTCTTTTCGGAACGAGAAATGGAATATCTTCGTCTAGGGTGATCGTTGAGCCGTAAAAGCTCCTGATTTGTGCTAGTCTCAGCTCAAGCTACGAAACTGCTATTCCAGTTCAAAATCCCATGTTAAAAGTGAATTATTTCCTTTAACACCTATAATTTCACATAAAAAGTACAACTTCAAAATGTGACCGCAGATCAAGGTCATGCCCTTACCTACTTGAGAAGTTCATGCTGGTCATCAACTCATCCGTATGTATGATTTAACACCTTCAAGACAATTTCATTACTCTACCTCGTCTCCTATATCAAAAGTAATAGTCGAAAAACTGATGTTGAGCTTTTTTAAAAGCTTTTTGACCTAGCCCGACCATTTGAGTGGCCGCTGGCCATCAATTGCACGCTGTCCGTCAAATATGGTCAGAATGGTCGTGTTTCTGTAAATATGCTGTTGTTTTTTACGTGCTTCTTCAGATCAAGAGATATTTGTCCTTTTCCCCGATTTGGCTGGTAATGATCAGGACAATGATCTGAACTTTCGTTGTTTGTAAGGGGCCCCATTAGGTTGAGGGGGCCCCACTTTGCTGGGGGGCCCATCGCGAACGTCTCTCACCCCCGTCGCCAGAGTTCTGGCTGCGCCACTGCCTATTATATAGAAGTAAATATCCACATGCAATTTACCTCTGTACAGGAAAACAAAGGTCTATGCCACGTAATACCGATTATAACACAGTTATAGGAAATGGCAAAAGCTCCCTAATCGCTAATGATTGGTTGGTAATGATTGGTAGGTAAATGTGAAATGGCATCAATTCCAAAGTATATGATTCAACGTTTTTTTTTTTTTAGAACTGTCATTCCTTTTCAGTTCAACTTAAGTGAATGAAATGAAAATCATTTGAATAAAGGGGATCTGAAAAAAAGATCAGCCCTAATGAATAGCGCTGGGACAGTAGTGTGCAGACTGCAGAGCTTACCTGTCCAGCGCCCACTGTTGGTCCCTCTCTGATTCACCTGGGGTAGTCTGATGGTCGCAGCGGCTTTCTTATGCCACAGGGGAGCCCCAGTGGGCTAATCAGCCTCCACTGCGGAGCGGAACGGGCGCGGACGCCGGAAAAATACCAGCCGCCGGCCGGCTAACAAGGCGCCGCCGGCACTGGCTGTTTCCGATTTCACGGTATCGGGACTTTGTGCGCCCGAAATGTCGGCGAACGCGACGGGAAACCCGCCGGCCACCAACAACACTTTGTCTTCAATGGGCAAACACGTATCGATCGTGGGTGGGTCTCGTCGCGGTGAAAATAGCCACACACAAAGGGGTCTCTTTGGTCTCAGGAGAATAGCGGAAAACGGACGGATGATGACATACAAACTCTTTGAAACGTCTAAGCTGCATTCGGTGTCAAATTTGTTGACGCAGCGGAAGGGGTGGAGTGGCTTACACGGCACTAGTGAATATGTGGAAAGGTGAAAGGGTGCCAAAAATCAGCATCGCAGCCCTATCAGGATCTTGAGGTCTATATAGGCGTCTTCCGCGGCAAGAAGTGGTGAAGATCACTTACAGTCTCATCGGTAAATGATTCAAATTGTGCTGGCATGCACCCTTCCTTTCATGCATGACATGCTGGAGACCAACGTCAGACACATCGGGAAACACGACCCGTGATGGCGATACGCAGCACTCCACTGAATCAGCAGTCACAGTGCAGTCCCTATCCTCTGTGGCGGTGCCGGTTCAGCGTTTTCTTTCGTCGCCTTCGTTTCGCGACGGCTCGTAACCCGCAACTGACCGACGAGTCTGAAGGCCGTGTTACACTGCCGAATTTTGGCCACGACCCTGTCGCCGAGTCACGTCGTGTAGGAAATCGGCGAACAGTTCGCCGACAGAGCCCGATTTGCAGAAAACGGGTGGGGGGCCCCCCTAATCGTGCGCGGGTCGAAGCTGATCCATGATTCGGCGATCATCGCGAATGAATGGCGAATCTGTTGCGAATAGTCGCCGATAGCTTGGCAACAAGTCGGCGCACGCAGTGACATGTCGGCGGCGACTCGGCGACTGTTTGGCGACCATGTTCGTTTATTATAAGTTCGGCGAACGGCCACGAAATTTTCATTTTTCATGAAATATTCGTGGCGGTCGTGACGAACCCTAAAAGTCGCGCGGTGGACACCGACTGGTCTGCGAAATACCAAGACCGTGGAAGAAAGATCCCGAATCGGTCCGCGACATATGATGACTTGCATATTCTTGCACATTCGTGTACCAAAATTCGGCAGTGTAACAAGGGCTTGAGACAGCACTCACTGGCTGACCCCTCCGACCTATGCCAAGCCTCGGCGGCTCTTGTGACACGAATCTGTCGCAGGACCATAAACAGAACTTGGAACAACGGCAGCCTGCGAACAGAGATACGCCGTAAGTTGACGTCAACACACTGGGACTTTCAGTAAATTAGAGAACTTCGCAGCCGTTTACTGCAGCTTTGAATTCACGTGATGAATGATGATGCAGGCATGATGATGGATGGGCTCATAATAAGAAGTTGAATGTTTTGCTCACGAGTTCAGTTTTAAACTTTTGACGGTTCTTCAAGGTAAGAATAGAGAAAGCTTTCTCGCCGTGAGAAAGCTGGAAACAAGAAATGTGTTGACATATTATGACGCTCTTATTTGTTGGCAGCAGTGCAATGATTTATAGGCAAAATATTCGCCATCTGTCGCCATTTTGATTTCTGGCTTTACCTAATGCTATTTGTAAGAAATGTTGAGCCATCGACATCCGAGATCACTCCTTAGGCCACACATCGCACACACCACAGACGATACCCGTTCCGTGCACGTCCCCCCCCCCTCTCCACGGCGACCCCTCCCCGCCCCTGGCCGGCTCGTCAGGAAGTTGCGAGCGGCCGGTGCCATTGGGCCCGATTGGCTACCGGTCGGCGCCGTCGGCGGCGGCCAATTCGGCGCAGACAGCGCCAATATCGTCCGTCCGCCGCCGGTCCGATGACGGCCACCTGAGCTGCCGGGGGGGGGGGGAGGGGGCAACAGAGGGGCAACGCCCCTGACTAGACAGAGGTAGGAAGGGGAGGGGACGACTGACAGTCGAGATTGCCACCGGCTTCAAGAGGGAAGGGAAGGTGATATTCCAAGTGATAAACTTTTCGTTTTGGAGAATTCGATATCTGTTAACTGATCTTGCACTGAAAGGAAACGGCCATTCATCTCCCTGTCCATCTCCTTACCATGGTATATCGTCGCTTTGAAGTACTCTTCCTCTTTCCATCGAGGGCAGGTGCAGTTAGAGACGGAAACAGGGGACTGAACTAAATCCATTGGCTCGCTCCGAGTTCAATCTAGCCTTCTATCGTGCGGGACCACGCAGTCATCAGAAAGATGAATGCTGGCACGCGCGTGAGCAAAAACCGCGACACCACCTAATGAAACTGCCGGTCATCCGTCACCTTTTTGCCAGCCGTGACTCAGGCCACATTGAACATTGAACATTGAACAACGCACTCTGTGAATGGACGCTGCAACATAGGTACGATCGATTCGAACTTCTTGCTGAACTGGAAAAGAAACATTCGTTCTAATGAATCCGGGTGCTGATGTTGGATAGTTGCCTGGTGCTTGCGCCGGCCTGTGGTTTGTAATTTGATTTGTCAATATTTCTGCGTGAGAACTGGATGAAGGTATAATTCATGTTTATGACGGGATAGCGTGTCCGAGTTGGTGACGGACAAAGCGAACTAAGCCGTTACGACTAAGTGAATTGGCTTACCATGTCACTTAGCAGATTGCCAGAGGTCCAACAAACAGATTCGGACGAGGCTGGCTGTCTATTCAGAGTTTCCAAGATTTCAGATTATGCTCGTATAAGAGCGTATCAGTTATATGAGAACATTTTCTGATCATGCTCACAAATTCAATTGTTCAATGCTTGTTTTCAACGGTTGTCATTTGATATGTTTTAACCCTATTCCTGGCGGGCTCCGCCGGGACAAGAAACTGGCGGGGGGGGGGGGGGCCGATTCGGCCCCCCCCCTGAGATCTCGAGAACAAAGCAAGTTAGCGACAAGCGGTAAACGGCATCGGATACGCATGGACAAGGTCTACAATTTTCACTAAGGTCATTTTCAGGTCAGGTCAAAGATGACGTCACAGGGGTCGAAAAAGTCAAAATGGCGGCGCTAGATATGGAGAGAGTTTTTCTCGACTAACTTTCGAATTAGTCAAGATAGGAACAAACTAAGGGCATCATCGTGATCCTCTCGTCAATCCGCATCGAATGATATATATGTTGACCTCGAAAGGTCAAGGTCAAAGGTTGACCTCAGGTCACGTGACCTCGAGGTCATCATGCATATCATTCGATGCGTCTTGACGAGCTGAACACAATGAGACCATCCACGCGTCTGTATCTTGTTCCTGTACGGAGTTATTGGCCAAAAACCTTTGGTGACCTTTGATGACGTCACATGACCTCACAGCTGCCCAAAGCAAAACAGACCTCAAGGTAGTGAAGGTTGATCGTATATAAAGTCATGTATGGTATATGGGGCCATTCCGACCCGTTTTAGTGGTAAAAACAGGGAGTTGATTTTTCCCCCATTGACTTATAATGGGGAGGTCGCGAAACTGACCTGACCTTAGGTCACCGATATCAAAATTCCGAGATATACAAATTGCACATACTGGTACCCTAACTAAAGCCTGAAGAGAAGAAATTGATCGGTCAAAAACTCTAGCTCTGGCGTGATTGCAAACTTTTCTGAGGTAGGGTCACCAAACCGCCTCTGGTGACCTGACCTGAGGTCAGATCAACTCAAAATTTTCAGACATGTTGCGTAGAAGCCTTTAAGGAAAAGTCAGAAAATTTGAGCTTCCTAGCTCAACGCGTTTGGGAGAAATAACCAAAAAACCTCAGGGGGGGGGGCTCCTGAGGCCCCCCCCCCGCCAGGAATAGGGTTAAGATGCTATATCATGTCACCTACTATCATCTCATTCGAGCTCTTTTTCATTTTTCACATAAAATTTGAAATGAGTACCTATGCGTATGGCATACTCATTTCAAATTGGACCAGCCATAGGTAGATACCTACTGGCATAGTGTTTCCTTTCAAAAGCACGTTTCATCATGCTGAAAGATTTGCGAACACATCAATTTGTGTTGGTATAGGCTGAATGGTGTGCGTGCATGTGCTTTTAGGGAAGACCGAACATAAATAATCAAAAGCAATATCAATTCGTCTTTCTTTGTTTCTTTGCTTATTTATTTATTTCATAATGGATGCCGTCGCACACAGTCTGACAGGAGCCAATAATCATCTGTCTCTACCCTGACGCTGTATCTGGTTCCGCGTCGGCTGTTTGACTCTGATATTGATTCTGTTGTCTGTTTGCTCTGACAACGACTGGTGACTTTGGTTCCGACATTCCGTGTCATTATTATTACGCCAGCTGTGGTCATCTCTCTGGTTCCTGCTCGCCGTTCGGGCTGTGTTTCAGTCACAAGTCTTTGTTATGTCTTTACTAAGACTGATTCAAACATTTGGCTACTTGTCAGATTCTGCTTCCGTGTCAGAATGGTCTGATTTTGTCTCAGGCCCGTTTCTTGTCTGCCGCTGGCCATTTGGTTAGGTGTCTGAGGTGTCTCTGTGCACTCTCACCCCGATTCTGTGCCTATCCCTCCCTCCTCAGGCGTACCGTCTGGGGATGTTCGGCGCCGACTACGTCTGGCTGCTGTACGGCAGCATCTCGGAACGCTGGTGGCTGCGGCAGCCGCCGGACGGCTGTCGAGCTGCTGAGATGAGAGCTGCCGCAGCCCACCTGCTGCTGGTGGACAGCTTCAGCGAGACCCGGCCGGGAGCCCGGCCCGCTTCTGGACTAGTAAGGAAGCGGGGGCGAGAGCGAGAGGAAACTAGAGGGAGCCAGACTCGAGCCTCGGGTCGGGACTAGTGAGAAAGAGGAAGGGAGGGAGAGAATGGGTTAAAGAGAGTAAAGGCTTGAAGGATGACGAAGATAGGAAGAGGAGAAAAGGGAAAATAATTAGAGTGGAATGGAAAGAAACAGGAATAAAGAAAGCATGGAGGACGACAGAACAAATAAAAAATGAGTGAAAAATTAATAAAGAAAAAGTGAAAAAGTAAACGAAAGGCAGAAAAAGAGAATAGAAAGAGGGAGAGAAGCGAGAGAGAGAGAGAGGGAGACAGAGAGGGAGAGAGAGAGCGAGCGAGCGAGCGAGAGAGAGAGAGAGAGAGAGAGAGAGAGAGAGAGAGAGAGAGAGAGAGAGAGAGAGAGAGAGAGAGAGAGAGAGAGAGAGAGAGAGAGAGAGAGAGAGAGAGAGAGAGAGAGAGAGAGAGAGAGAGAGAGAGAGAGAGAGACGCAGAACAGCCACCTTCTCACTGCCGAGACCGATGACTGGGGGTGGCACGGCAGAGTGGGAAGGGGAGAGGGGGTCGGCGAGGGGAGTCGGAAGTGGCGCCGACAATGCAGCCAGCGGCGTCGGCCAGATGGCGGGAAGATAGAGCAGCTGGCGCCGGGCCGGCAGGTATTGTGATCTCCGGTCAGGGATGGGAGGTCGGCGAGTCGCCGGCGCTCCCACATCCATACGCACTCTGACACGGCCCGCCAGCTCCAGCTGACGACTCCGTGTCCATGGAGTATACCCGGGAGGAGAGGGAGAGGTCGGTAGCGTCTGCGGGCCGGTCAGTACCTCCACACTCAGGGGGAGTGCATGCAGCAAAGGCCTATAGATGTGGAAAGAGGCTGGCAGAGAACAGCGAGTCGGCGACCCGTGAGCAGCTAGGAGACGGAGTCCTGGCTCAGCAGAATGCTGACAACATATATTTGGGTAATTAAGTAAGCCTTGCAGTTTAGGGAGATGAAATTAATTAGCAAGATTCTGTTATTGTGTCTTGTGGCTTGGTGGCTTGATTAGATCAGGAAACCAACTGTTGTAAAATACTTGTCGCAGACTGATAGTGCTAATTTTATGACCAATCAGCGAATTTCCACTGACACTGCCGGGTCACAAATTAGAAATCGAGATTTGACGATACAGACACGACTCAGATATGAATGGAGCACGAAAGAGCAGGAAGATCTGCAAAAACCGTAAAAATGCCCGATCGTTACCGGAGACTGCAGCACGGGGTGGTGTGACGAACCGTTGGTGCCGAGACGACGCACATCCTGTCCAGTGGATGGCGATAACATGAAGACGAATGTCCCTCTCACCCAATGGACAGTCTAAAGGCGTTGATGCGAGTCTGACGAATGGAAACACATTCAATTCCTGCAGTTCGGGAACCTGCATGAGTCAGTCAGACGAACAGCTAGTCACTCATTTAGTTACTCAGTTAGCGGGACTACTTAAGCCAGTCATTTAGTCATCTAAGCTGTACATAAGTCAGTCAGCCAACCTGTCATCAGATAGCTAAATGAGTCATTGATTGGCTGCCTGAGTTTACTAGCATAAATTATATAATCCTTTACCAGTATACCGACAATTCGGCACCAATAGAATCGCGCTAGATATCTGGACCCGGTATCGTATCGCCGCTGTCGGAGCATCTGCTGGGATGGTGCCAGGACTACGGGACGCCGCGCCAGGCTGTTGGGCCGCGGCCTCGGAGAGATGAGGTGCCCGGGTGATCAGATTGGGTGTCAGTCGCGGTGTGGCGTTACACCCGGTTCGGGTGTCTCGCCGGTCCGCCGGGACCCTGATCGGTAGTCGGGGAGGTAGCGCGGGGAACGACGAGGCTTTTCCCTGAACATGCCGAACGGCAACTTCATCCGATACCTGCAGGGAACCTTTTTCCATTCATATGTTCCGGATTCTGCTGCTTTACATGGTAGCCGTACAATATTTCGATAGGATGCGGAACATCTAGGATACAAAAACTGTCACGCGCTAACTTTGATCCCACGAATATACGCCTTCATATTTAACTGAACGTTCCAGGATTTCTGTCGTGAAAATTGTTTTGCTAGTGTCTAGACTCCTGACTCACAGCAACGCATATCAACAACTTCAAATGCTTCGCCGAACAAAAGACGCGGTCTAGCATGGTTAGATGCTTTTTTGGTCTCATTTGAGCCGTATTATACACATATGTATCGTTCGTTTGCTAGAATTGTTTAAAGGGACCCTCCCACCTTCAAAAAAGTTTATGAATTGGCATGAAAGTGATGTCGCTCGGTTCAGAAAGAGCGAAAACGAATATCTACCAAATTTCACCGAAAAATATTCACCGGTTTTCAAGATATTTGACTTTTACTTTTGTTTACTTTTTTGGGATCTCCGCTGTTTCTAGCGACTTCTATTTTAGAAGTGCGGCGTTTGCGGCAGATGTTGCGCGCAAATAGCATATACCACCGCGTGCTACAAAACGTTTTAGTCAAACATTTAAAAATCGTTAGATATCTGCGCTGACGTCACACATTCAGAGTGGTATTCCTAAGCATTAGCCCCTCTGAATCAAAATGCTGCAATTTTGAAATTCAATATTTCCGATTTAAGGCATTTCTCGATGTTGTGAGTACCGAAACCGGTAATTGTGAGCCAGGGACCCCATTTTGGCTATCTCAACTCAAATCTAATGTTAAGGTGGGAGGGTCCCTTTAACAGAAAACGTACCGCATTATGCACGATGGATCTGTGTACTAAAAGGCATTATTTCAACAGGCTTGGATTTCGCCCTTTGGAACATGTAGACGTGAAGTGAATGTTACAGTTCAGCATTTTAATGTCACAAAATTTCACATAATTTTCTCCTGATCTCATGCCTTGGTTTTGCTTTGGTTTCGTTGTGTTTACCACTGTAGCTGAGAGAGACACGGCTGTCCTGTCGCTGCTAGCTTAGGGTGTCTCATATCCGCTGTGCCGTCAACTGCCGCCGGTCGGACCCATCGGCTCTTGTCGGTGTTATTTCATGGCCAACATGCCACCCACCGAAAGGCGCCGACAGTCGAGTCATCGACATTGTGTGCTCGACTGTCATGGAGACAAACCCAGTGGCTCGAAGACAAACTCGGGTCACTCGGGTCGTGGCACAATGAGGCGCCAGGCCGCCATCGCCCGTCCGAGAAGCTCAGACGGCAGCCAAGCATTGCGGCACAGCATGCTGGTGGCTGATCGTGCTGCCATCTAGGGACTAGGATCTAAAACAGTATGGGGACCGAAGGACGTTTTGTGTCGTGGCTTCCATTGCTAGTTGCGACTGTTTCTCAGATATTTATATTTTTTCGAAGCAAATACATTTCTGAAAATCAATTTCCATACTTATGAGGCACTATTCGCCAAAAGTACTTAGCGAAAAAATGACATGCTTTCCTATAGGTAGGACTCAAAATTTATGATCGTAGGTAAGTACCTTTTTCTGATGCTGATATCATATCATAGAGCTTCAACATCCGGTCTTGCATTTATTCATCACATTTTACCCTAATACCTATAGGTAATTCTCTGGGTCATGTATTCAGTGCAGGTTGTGTCCCGCTCTGCGAGCACCACTCCATACGCTGCCCATACTTAGCGGACCTCTGGGAGTCGACACTGACCAATGACCGGCGCATAATCCGGCCGGGGGAGGCCGGTCGCGGCGGCCATCGGTTGCCAGGCTCGTCGGCCCGCCGGCGGTCACCGGGGTCGTTTATCTCGGCGGCTGCTGACACGGACTGCTGTGTCTGTGATGACGTCACTGGAGCGTTTACCGGCGCTCAGTGCAGCCGGCCGGACCGACCCCTGCCGGAGGGTGTCAGCCGGCGGGATCGATGGTGTCGCTGTCATTTTTGCGGAGACTATTTCCGATACGGCACAACCGGAAATGAGCCGGACGGTAGTTGTGGCGAGGCGTGTAATTAACAGGCAAATGATATGCGTACGACCTTGTTAAGTTAGATTGGATATGCCCTGCATCGTTTATCATTGCGGTCTTTAAAATGAAGCAAGATGGTTGCGCCGCCGCCATTTTATGTCTTCTAGGTTCTTAGTTAATTTTGAGTTGCTAGGACGATACTGGTAGGTACCTAAGTTTATTTTACCTTAACCCTATTAGTGGCAGGCTCCTGGCTACCCCTATTAGTGGCAGGGGGGCTGTTTACGACCCCCCTTGATATCTCGAGATCTAACGGGCTGATTTTCAAAATTCAAATGGCATTCGATTTCGCTCAACGAGATCTACATTTCAAAAAAAATAAAATTAAAAAATGTAAATAGGGGGGTAGAGGGGGGTAAAAACGGGCAAATTGCAGATACATTTTAGACTGTTTATCACGGCCAGGTTTCTGAACCAATCTTAACGCAACTTTTGCCGATCGATAGAGAATGAACCAGGAATTCACATGGATCCTAAAAATATGCATTTTCAAAAATCATAGGCGGATACAGATCATTGAGATTGGGGGTACACAAAAAGTATAGTAAATAAGGTTTTTGTTAGTACTGTTTCTAAAAAGGGTGGCAATGGTCTTGTTATGTTACAATTTTCTTATGAGGGAACGACTAAAATTGTATTGGTCATGCATAGGCGGTGTCAGGGCACCTATGTTGGGAGGTAAAAAATAACCCCCCTTTTTGGACGCCTGGATCCGCCTATTATAGCAAAAACGTGTCAAAAGAGGATGCACAATAACTTTGTATATGTTATCACATGATACCTTTCATTCACTGCTCGTAAAACTGGTGCAGCATCGTGATCTTCGCCCAAATGACTCGCTTCACGAATAGGACCCCCCAATTCCCAGTGCTCTGGAGCCGCCCCTGGTAAAGTTATGAACTTGAAATTTTCAGGGAATGTGCCCAATTTAGTTTAAGGAAAAGTCAGAAAATTTCAGCATCGTAGCTTCAGCGGTTTCGGAGATATTCCCGAAAAACCTGAGGGGTGGATAAAAACAACGCCCCCCTGCCACTAATAGGGTTAAAGTGTCGCCTTAAAAATAAAATCAAAATAAAATCACAAAGTCATGCTGACCTATCTTGCTGCTTCAAACCAGAAATGTCTTTCAAGGCAGTTCATGTATCGGTAAGAGCACTTCTAGGTTGTACAACCTCTACACTTAGAAGAGCGTCCAGTGCCCACTGCTAGCTGCAGTGTAGCTGTCCTTCCCTGTCCTAACCACCCCGTATGTGTGTTGCAGAGTTCGGCGGCGTTCCGTCGCGCGCTGCAGCTGCGTGGTGTACCCATCACCCGTACCGCCTCCCTGGCCTACGACGCGCTCTGGAGCGTTGCGCTGGCTCTGCGGGCCACCCAGCGGCGGTGGAGGGCCCGCGGGGAGCGGCGCGCTCTCTATCGCTTCGACTACAGCCACGCCGGCACGGCTGCCGACCTGTTCAGCGCCACGCAGCGACTCAACTTCACCGGCGTCTCGGTGAGTATAAGGGGAGGTCCAAGGCCCTATATACTGAGAGGCAGTGTTCGCCACGGGCCGCAAAATCCCAGCCCAGCCCAGCCCAGGCCCATGGGTTCACAGCCCGGCCCAGCCCGAGCCCATTCATGGTAAATGTGTCAAAGCCCAGCCCGGCCCAGCCCGTCAAAAATGAATGGATTTAAAAACTATTGACTACACATAGGTATCCAAAGACCAAATGTAGCAAAAAACAATCATTTGCGAGCAGCATGCACAATGGACATTGTATGCGTGCTTTATTAACTCGTTTTTGAGTATTACACACTGCACAGTAATAAGCTATGTATAACCTGACTATGTAACCCCTGACTCCACTTTACATTTTTTGGCCCAGCCCATCCACAGCCCATCGATCCTTCATATTTTAGGGCCCAGCCCAGCCCGTAGCCCAGCCCAGCCCATGGCCCATTGGACTGGCCCGGCCCATGGCGAACACTGCTGAGAGGCCACCCAGCAGTTCTGGAGAAGACCTAGGGCAGTGGGCGCCCAATGGCTTCAGAACTATAAGTCTCTGTTTGGTTGGAGATGGTCCACTCCCGAGCACCCTGGAATATGACATTGGCCACAAACGGTAACTCACAATCAGAATTCGGTAGATACTTGATCGGCAGCAAAACTTGTTGGAAATGCCGATTGCTGATTCTCAAGGCCCTATATACCAGGTAGGGTCGTCCGGCGATTCTACCTTTTCGTGACGTCAGCTCGTGACGTCATTTGGAGTCAAGTCTCGAAGCCCCGTTCAATCCCCATGTAAATGAGCGATTTTCGAAGCACTGTAGAATGAAGTCTGCACAAGATATATCAAACCTAAGTATCTTATCTGAAAGAGCAGACAATTTTCTGCAAGTTATCTATTACGTGTTTTTCGCTAAATCTTTTGCTTTTTTCACAAAAGCGTAAAATGTCCCCCCATGTCTCCGCAGCCTCCCTGCCGCCGGCTGCCGCGCGGTCGCGGTAGTGTAGTGGTTAGCGTGCCCGCGCAGTATTCCAAAGGTCCTGAGTTCGAATCTATGTGGTGCGGAACTTTAATTGCAATTCCAAGCTGAATATACGCACATCCATAATAAATTATTATTCGTATAGCTAAACTGTCACCAAGCTATCCATATAAATTGACTTCACCCAAAATATCGGCGAGATTCTATTAAAATATAAATTCAAATATGGCGGCTTGGACTGCCGCGTGCGTTAGGCTCCGCCCATAGCTCCGCCCACATGCGCGACGTCATTCGTGTTAGTGGACACGCAGAGAGATAGGGGACGACATGGGCCTGGCTGATTCTGATCTTTGCATTCCGTGCATGACTTTTTGTTTTTTGCATTGCTAGAAAATTGCCAATCATATGAACACTACCGCATACTGGTATTTACCATTGTTTCCCAGCACCTACCAATTCATCCACTCACTTCTGGTTGTCTGTCCCCAGCCATAGTTAGTGTCCACTCGGTATCATACCTGCCTGACCCCAGCCACAATGGGTATCCTCTCAGTACCCTGTCTGCCCGACCCCAGCCACCATATCCACTCAGCCGGGCACTCCGGCCGGAGCCGCAGCTGGCCTGTTGGCCTCCATGGCGCCAGTTTCAGCCGGTCGAGCCGTGACCCAGGTAGAGGCGGGAAATGGCGCGACTCGGGCCCGAATTGGCGCGAACAATAGCCGGCGTCAGCGGCGGTAAGCCGCACCAATGGAGGCCGCCGAGCGAATTAGATGAGTTCGGTCCATTACCTCTGTGGCTCGGTGACCGTGTGGAAAACGACAGAGCGCAGAGAGAATCGGAGTAGTCCCAGGGGCGTACCTGCTGACCTGACCCCTTAACCCGCGCCCTGGTGGGGTCTGTTTATAACGCGACCTGGTGGGGGGGGGGCTATTTTTTGCCCCCCCTCGTATCTCCGAAACTACTGGACGGATCCGCAAAATTCAAACGGCGTTCGATAGCCCTGTCAAATTTGTCGAAGGAAACCAAATTTCATTGACCTCGGGGTCACCGATGACGTCACAGGTCAGGTCAAAGATAAAATGTTTCACCGTTCACGGGGCTTCTAGGGAAAGCGCTATAACACCGAATAAAACGCATTTTGTCGAAAATCAGCGATAAGACGTCAGTTGTCTAGTACATATGTTGCTATTAGAGGTCACTGGTCATACCAGGTCAGGTCACAGGTCAGGTCACCAAAGGTCACCAAGGGTCACCCCATGAACCCAACTTTACTAAGGTTGTGCGATGCATGTTTTATGGCCAATTTTTCATTTCCAACCCAATGGTGTTGGTTATAAGACCATCAGGTACGGTTTAGGTCACTTTCTGGTGGAGGTCAGGTCAAGGTCAGGTCAAAAAAGGTCAAATTTTAAAGTTGATATTTTTGCATTAAATTGGTATCGATTCGATTCAGCTCGTCACGGGGAGTCTAATGGTGGTCTTTGTTTTGCGCTACGAGGTCTAGAATTGCTAAAAATTGAGTTTGAAAATGTGACGTCATCAATTTTGAACAGTTTTTTCGCTATAACTTCGCCAAAAAAAGAGGTATCAATCTAAAATTTGGTATGTGGATGGAAGGCGGTAAGGACTATCACATATATTCCGGTTTTTGCGAAATTCAAAAAACTTTTTGGATTTTTTGACTATTATATCCCAAAAATCTATTTTTTGATTTTCGGGGGTCAAAATCCAAAAAATTCAAAAATCCGAGATAGCAGTTTTGTAGCCCTGTCAATTCTACAGCTTTTATGTCCTTATCATTTTTCTGTATTTGCAAAGCTATAGGCCTGACAGCTCTTCCCGCGGAACCCTTTTTTGGGTCGAAAACGGCAGAACATGACGTCACTCTGACGTCATTTCCGGCTAACCTATCATAGCCTTTGGAAAAAATTTTTGGTCACCATGTGTAAAATTGATGTCCGGGAGGGTACTGAAAGTTTGGTGACGATCGGCGCAGCGGTTCTGGAGATATATCGAAAAGTCTGGAGGGGGGGCAAAAAATAGCCCCCCCCCCCCACCAGGGCGCGGGTTAATGTCACTTCCCTGATCCATCCTCTGACGTTGGGATGGAAGGCCCGTAGAGTAGCGACATGATACTGGGCGGCCTGTCCTTTCAACGATACTGAGAACCTACCTAACTGTGAGGTGATGTACTTCTTACGGAGCAAAATATTTAGGAGAATACAGCTGCTCTTTGCCCCATGTAAGTACAGGTCTTACAGCCAGAACTTTCGCACGGTTCTGCTCTCAATGAGAAACCGGCCAAGCTCACCCTGAAGGCATTGAATTTTCAGAGGGACATAAAATGGAATGGCACACTGGGGTCTTCTGATTCTTCGAGGAGCTTGTTTCCCCTTAATAAACCTTATCTGAGTGCCTTTTGAGTTTTGACCTCTCCCTAACCCCTCACTGAAGCATCACCAGATGGGTTTAATTTATGACGTCACTGAACCACACATATGCATAGTCTGTGAGGTCCACCAGATGATATGAGCTTTTAGTTACATCAATCACATCGCCATATCAGTCAGTAAACTGTGAGGCCACCAAACGGCACACGGTCAGGGTTTATCGGTCAATTTAACCTGCGATGAACGCTGTTTTCGGAACGCTCAGCCAGACAAAAGAACTCGCTGCTGGCAGGCGGGAGGTGGAACGGTTTACGGGTCGGGAATACCTAACGCGTCTGCGGGTTTACGGGATACGGATGGGGGAGGAAGGTCAGCTGGGGTGCCGGAAGTATAGGTCATGTGAAGTGGCCCACTGTTACGACGAGGAGGTCCGGAAAGTCAGTTTACAGCCTCGGAGACCGCAGTTAAGCGGCAGTCACCGGCAGGAAGACAGACCGGAGAGAAGGAATGACAATGTCCCTGCCGTCTCCCTCGGCCAATGGGTGTTTTGCCCAACCGTTGCATTGACATGCACTCGGACAGCATGAACAAGTAAAAAGCCCACACTTATTTTAAACAGCCTCCGAACCTCAGTCTGCTATGGCATGCATGCCGCAGGTAGCTGCCTGGCAAAGGTTAATCTTTCTCTACTTAGGTTCTGATCAAATATGGACTCATTCCTCTAGCTCAGGACCATCGAAATCAGCCATGCCTTCTCAATATATTGATGACCATTGACAGCGATCTTCCGTGGCCTATCATGATTATCTATCTTCCTTCATCATGGACTATGAAGCCGCCTATTCAAGATGCCTATTAAAGCTTTCTTTTCAAAGAGAGATAGCTGGACTGCCCCCGTAAGTGCTCTGTCCATTTGCAGCTCGATTTCAGCTTCTCTTTGTTCCAGGGGCCAGTGAGTTTTGACGGCGCTGACCGGCGCGGTCTCACGGCCTTCTACCAGCTTCAAGGTGAGATAGCGGGGCATTGGGGAGCACGAATAGATAATGGAGCACCCCGGGCGGAGTCGATAGTGACCCTTCTGACAACGATTTCCCGTGGCTATGACCATTTGTTCGAATGTTATATCGTATCGCTGGTCGCTCAAATGATACATTCGCTGATTGACCTGCATTGTGACTGTTAGCTTTGACTTTACCTGTGTACTGTTGTCTGACATTTATGGAAAGAGTGGCCTGCGACCTGACCCATGACCTGACTCTTGACTTGGCTTGTGACCTGCCCCATGACCTGACCTGTGGCCTGACCTGTAACCTAGTGGTTTTGTTTTTCCCCATGTGACCTAACCTAACTCCCGCTATCCGTGTTCAGGTGACAACTGCTGACGCTGGTAACTGTCCTAACCACAGCAACCTGCAGACCTGACCTCTGCCCAGGTCCTCACCTTGGTGGCGCTGTACGACCCGCACAGAGGCGGCTGACCTGGTTTGACCTGACCTGACCTGACCTCTCCTTATCACCCTGGTGGCGCTGTACGATTCGCGCAGCGGTGACCTTTGGAGCTGACCTGACCTGACCTGACCTCTGTCCAGGCGACAACCTGACCCTGGTGGCGCTGTACGACCCGCGCGGCGGCGGCTCGCTGGAGCTGCGCTGCGCCGCCTGCACTGCCATCTGGTGGCCGGGCGGCGAGGTGCCGGTGGCGCGCCGTCTGGTGGTGGCGCGCGTAGTGACGGTGGCTGGCGCGGCGCTGCTCGTCGTCGGCTGCCTGGCCGTGCTCGGGGTGCTGCTCTCCGGCACCTTCCTCGCCTTCAACGTCTACTACAAGCACATGAAGTAAGGACACACACGACTACCTGCAAACACGACAAACACATAAACAGCGTCTACTATAAAAACGAAGTAAAGATACACAGTACGCACCCTCCCAACGCCTCCTATACCTACAAACTTTTGAGGATACACACCTCCGTCTACTATGCAAGCATATGAAGTAAGGGCTCGATTTCCAGGACATTCAAATCTTCCATCCTCAGGGCATTCAAATTTTTCTCCACCCCGCAACCCTCAGTCCGGGCTGGATAGGCAACTTTATCTCATGCGGGCTGCTCCCTTGGGGCGGCACCGCTGCTCCCGTGGGAGCACACCCGTAGCCGGTTGTAGCGAGTACTTGGTGGGGGGGGGGGGGGGGGGGGGGGGCTAGTCGGCCTGTTCTTTGGGACGGGCTCAGCCCCGGTGACTCGCTAGGGTGCCTACCCAGACCAATGTCTCCCCCTAATTTTATCATCCTTCCGGCTCTGAAATGGTCTTGTCATACCGAAAGGGCCTAACCCGCAACAAAAAAGCCTCGCATACCACCAATGTCTACTGCAAACATATGAAGTACGGAGTGGACACGCACAACACATGTCCAACGTCTAATATACTAGGGTTGACTATTAAGTAATGGAAGTGCCTTAACTCGCGCCCCGCTGGGGGGGGGGGCAGAATCTGCCCCCCTCCATTTTTCGCCAATAACTTCCAAACACGTTACGCCGGTGACGTCAAACTTTCAGTACCTTATCATACATCAATTTGACACGATCCCTGAAAATTTGAGCGAAATCCGTCGGATTTTTTTTGGGAAATTGACGTTTTAGTGACGTCATGTCCGCCATTTTCGCCTCAAAAACGGCAAAATTTCAAACGCCGCTAACATCTTCATTTTTAAAGGAATCAAGACGTAACAAAAAAAGGTTATACATGATTCTACTTTGTCTATCAAATGGCTATCTCGGTTTTTTTGAAAATGTTGGATTTTGGCCCAAATTTTTTCCAAAAAACTGACTTTTTTTGGGAAAATAATCATAAAATCCAAAATTTTGAGTGTATCAAAAAAAAAACGGAATATGTGTCAGAGAAGTGGTCTATGTGCACCTACATACCAATTTTTAGAAGAATCGGTTAAAAAATGTAGGAGTTATTCAAAATTTTATGACGTCACGACACACAAAAATTTTGAAAAATGATTTTTTTTTGGAAGTTCTAGACCTCGTACGGAAACAAAAATAGCACCATACGATTCGCCGTGAAAAAGTGCATCAGATTGACACCTTTTTAGGCCTTAACAACCAACTTAAAAATTTGACCTCACTTGACCTGACCTTGACCAGACCTCGACCTGAAATTCATCCCGAGGTGGTCCATATCACTTATTGAGTGTGCCTATTGAATTCTATGAGAAAAATGACCCATAAAACATGTGTCGCACATGCCCTTTTCTATATTTTGTTTTTGGTGACCTGACCTGACCTGACCTGACCTTGACCTTTGAATAACATTGTATGCAACGAATATTGTCTTGATAGTCTAAGAACACGTTTTGGGCAATCAGTCTAAGTCCATTCTTCGGCAACTACGGTGCAAGGCCGATACTGTGGAAACTTGCATTTTGTACCCTTGACCTGACCTTGACCTGACCTCTGACCTACTTAAGCAAAAAAATTTGGGCTCTTAAGATCCGCCTCGTTGAGAGCTTTCGATCGCCGTTTTCCCCGTCTTTCTACGACCATCGGTTCGGAAGTTAGACAGGGGGGGGGGGGCAGAATCTGCCCCCCCCCCCCCAGCAGGGCGCGTATGGCTGAATAGCCCAGCGGGGCGCGGGTTAAGCAATTAAACGGGTTTGCACGTGCACACATTATTTAGGTGTCATTTCATGCGCCGATCTTTTTTCTATCCAATGGTGAAGACCACATGTCCCTAGCTATTTTTTGCTATAAGCTATCGTCGTTTTCCCAAGAGACCTCCCGAACCTGTGGCGCACCACCTGGCAATGGCCAAAGCCGCGCGCCGGCGCCGAGTGCAAGGTCATTAGAGCTCAGTTTGTCGTAGGGAAAAGGCCTACCAATATCAGAAAATTTCTTTTCTAAGTGTATGGAGCGACGCAGCCTCCCCACAGACGATATGTCGGTGGTTTCATCGGTTTGAGAAAGAAAGCGCCGATCAGTCCTCTGGCGGCGTTCCAGGAGTGGGTCAAGACGAGGCTGGAATGGTATGTGATGCTTGAAGGCGATTATGTGGAGTAGTGTATGCTGTCATTTATCGTGCCAATGTGTATTGTTTTGATGAAAATGTAGAAATTGTCCATTGTGTAGCCAAAACAATAAGCCAATAAGCTCTGATGATCTCGCGCTGGCGCTTGGCGCGCGATTTTGGCCATTGCCAGACTCCTTTTTCATGGTGCGCCGCAGGTTCGGGTGTTCTCTTGGGAAAACGACGATAGCTTGGAGCAAGAAGTAGCTAAGGACATGTGGTCTTCACCATTGGATAGAAAAAACATCGGCGCATGAAATGACACCAAGAAAACATGTGCACGTGCAAAAACGTTTAATTGCTTAACCCTCGCCGGCCGAGGGGGGGGGGCGGGTCCGCCCCCCCCATAGGGTTTTTTCGCGATAGCTCCAAACACGCTGGCGATAGAGAGCTGAAACTTGGCATACCTGACCTTTGATCCAAGCCGGATCTTTTGACACCAACCGCATTTTTGGGTCAGGTCAGGTCACTGACCTATGACGTCATAAGTGAACCTCTGCACGGTCTTCAGATGTCGCAACTTCGCAACGCCCTCACTGCCAGAGGAGATGTCACAGGGAAATGAAACTTGCAGGACCTAGTATCCATTATGAGTCCCACAACTTGTATATCTCGGATTTTTCCTAAAGGTCATATGAGGTCAGGTCATTTTCGTGACCTCACCATTATAAGTCAATGGGGAAAAATGAAAACTGCTATTCTGGCGCCGGGAACGATCTCCAACTATCTCAAGCACACATAATCGTGATTTGATGCACTCCTTGCAAGGTTAGATGCGTCACTTTTGCAATGTTGACCTTGAGTGACGTCATTTATGACGTCATCAAGGTCATATTAGTTTTTCGTCAATAACTCTTGATCAAATTGAGCTAGCGAGTCGGGAAAGCCACCAATGGACTCAGAAAGACCTGCCGAATCGAATGATATGCGACATGACCTCTTTCGACCAACTTCGTGACCTGGGGGTGCTGACCTGACCTTGACCTGAGGTCAACACCCCAAGTTGACCTGACCCGGACAAAAAGTATATCATTCGACGCGCCTGAGCGAGACAAACACTATGCTGCCAAAATCGGCGCTCTGCGGCCGTTTTTTGCGAAGTTATTCACCAAAAACTTAACCGTACCTTGGGGCACTTGACCTGACCTCAGAGGTCACCGGTTGACCTAGGACCTTAAAATCGGGTACCAATCTCTGCGTCTCGTAACGGCGCACACGCTCGTTTTTTCCGCGACGCGCTAGCTCCACCAGGGGCGAAACGGCGAGGGGGGGGGTCGTACCCCCCCCCCCCTCGGCCGGCGCGTATGTAGAAAACCAATAGGTCCGGCGAGACCCGCCCCTCGCCGTTTCGCCCCTGGTGGAGCTAGCGCGTCGCGGAAAAAACGAGCGTGTGCGCCGTTACGAGACGCAGAGATTGGTACCCGATTTTAAGGTCCTAGGTCAACCGGTGACCTCTGAGGTCAGGTCAAGTGCCCCAGGGTACGGTTCAGTTTTTGGTGAATAACTTCGCAAAAAACGGCCGCAGAGCCGCGATTTTGGCAGCATCGTGTTTGCCTCGCTCAGGCGCGTCGAATGATATACTTTTTATCCGGGTCAGGTCAACTTGGGGTGTTGACCTCAGGTCAAGGTCAGGTCAGCACCCCCAGGTCACGAAGTTGGTCGAAAGAGGTCATGTCGCATATCATTCGATTCGGCAGGTCTTCCTGAGTCCATTGGTGGCTTTCTCGACTCGCTAGCTCAATTTGATCAAGAGTTATTGACGAAAAACTAATATGACCTTGATGACGTCATAAATGACGTCACGCAAGGTCAACATTGCAAAAGTGACGCATCTAACCTTGCAAGGAGTGCATCAAATCACGATTCTGTGTGCTTGAGATAGTTGGAGATCGTTCTCGGCGCCAGAATAGCAGTTTTCATTTTTCCCCATTGACTTATAATGGTGAGGTCACGAAAATGACCTGACCTCATATGACCTTTAGGAAAAATCCGAGATATACAAGTTGTGAGACTCATAATGGATACTAGATCCTGCAAGTTTCATTTCCCTGTGACATCTCCTCTGGCAGTGAGGGCGTTGCGAAGTTGCGACATCTGAAGACCGTGCAGAGGTTCACTTATGACGTCATAGGTCAGTGACCTGACCTGACCCAAAAATGCGGTTGGTGTCAAAAGATGCGGCTTGGATCAAAGGTCAGGTATGCCAAGTTTCAGCTCTCTATTGCCAGCGTGTTCGGAGCTATCGCGAAAAAACCCTATGGGGGGGGCGGCACCCGCCCCCCCCCCTCGGCCGGCGAGGGTTAAGGCACTTCCATTACTTAATAGTCAACCCTAGTACAAGAACATGAAGCTCGCATACCCCTAACGATTATTACAAACACAAGCGAACACGCACAAACAGCGTCCACCTACTGCACACACACGAAGTTAGAGCACTGAGATCAGGTGATTCGCTTCTTTATGAAGTGAAGTCACTGGCTTGTGATTAGCAAAAAAGTTACGGGTGGGCCTTGCATACAAATATAGGTTTAGAAGTAAGCTAAGAAGATTGTAAAAAAGAAGGTCAAGTGCTAAGTGTCTGGAATAAAAACTGTTCTATGCACAGTCGATATTCAGGGTTGCAAGCTTGAAATTGGCATCCATTATTCAACGAAGGACTACGCTTTATCCGTGCAAGCGTGCCGTTGCGTGACTTTCAATGCGTTTCTTATCCTATCAATCATCCGGAATTTATAACGCTTGCTTATAAATTTTTCAGCAGCATTCTCCCCGACACAAGTTACAGCTATGAGTGCGTCACTGGTGCACCTCAGCTGAGCTCTGCCAGTCCCTCTGTTTGTCCACGCAATGGTCCCGTTGGTCGCGGTGTGTTCCGGAGCGGAGCGGCGGGTGGCTCGGACGGTGCTGACCGTCGGTCGCTCAGGCCAACGGGCCGACCGGTTCGGTCACGCGACGTCCGCGGGCACCGACGTTCTGTACTGCACAGTGCACAGAGACACGGTACACAGTCAGTGAACTGCTGCTCTGCAAAGAATCGCACACTAAACACAGAACGGGAGACCCTGTCCTACTTTGACACACTACACACTACACAGCCTTTTGGGTGGTCCGATGGCGTCTGGTGACCCGATGAAGGTTTGGTACGAATAGCGACAGCATTTTCCTCATTTGTTAGAGTTGTTATGAGTTTATTTGCTAGTTTTTTAACGTTATTAAAATGTACACACCGTTTGCGGTCAGAGCGGGGCCTGTGTGGTGCTTACCTCATCGCCCCTTCCTCATTGGCCCCGTTCACGCGCGTCAAGGCCTTTTGTGTAACAGTTTTACGTATATTGCAGGCTGGTTAGGGTAGCGCTACATGCTTTTACGCGAACGACGTCGGAAATACCCCTGCCCGCAGCGTTCGATTGCATGTAAACGGCTAAAAACTCGTGACACTCCTCCCCTTCCCAGACAGGTGAAGCTGTCCAGTCCCAAACTGAACAGCATCACCGCCGTCGGCTGCATGCTGGTGTACGTCGCCGTCGTTTTGCTGGGGCTAGACTACGCCACGCTGACGAGCACGCGGCACTTCGACGTCGTGTGTACGGTAAGCCCCTTTCCGGGGGAGGGGGCTATCCATCACCGACGTGGCGAGCCGACCGGCGGCGGGCTGGGACCAGAACAATGCAGCTCAGGGCAATTGTCAGGCTCGGTGGCCGGGCGGACACAGCCCTAACGGCAAAGTAAGCCAAGCCGGCAGATGGAAACTAGAAAATAAATGTAAATGAATACCAACCTTGAACCTGGGAGATATTATACGATGAAAGTGACCGCGAAGAATCACCGAGTTACGGATGACAATGCTAGGTATTATAATTTTGAGAGTCATCATATTACTTGGTTGACCTACCGTAACAAGGTATAATACAGATTTAGGCGCCGATTTAATTAATTAATATGTGCAAGCCGTGCACGAAACCATAAAAAGACTGCAAGTTGGTGCACAGAAAATCACACTTCCTGTTTCTCTGGTAGTGTGCAATAATGCCTTCCTTTCCTGCTGGACTAAATCCTGCGTCTTCATTTTGGCGGCGACGGCGGCTGCCGCTGGGACGGTCGTTTCTGCTCCGATGGTGGCTCTGATTAGACACAAACAACTAAATTAATGGCAGTGTTGATCTGTCACGTAACTGGCCAGTAAGGACCTGGAGTCGACGGCCTCCTAAATAACGCGCCCTGCAGACTCTGAGTTATCGTGCAACATAGATGAGCAGCGACAAAATGCTGTAGTGATTAACTAATTAACTGAAAGCCATCGGACTTCAAAACAATAAGTCATTACGCAGCTAGGCGATTTTCAGCACACATGTCGACTGCATGTATTTCTGGCATGGATGCGGATTTGAATAACTAAGTTTCACCAAATAACTTTCCTGTCAGTGCTCTAGTATTTCATTGGCTGCTATCGGGCTCCAAAGAACCCCACTATAGTTGTTTTTCCCTCAAGTTCTGAAGATAATTTTTATGACCTGGAAAGTCATGTCGCCTTACACCGGGAGCTGCCTGTATGACACGTCCTGTCCTTTTGTTCCAGGCTCGAGTGTACCTCTTTAGCACGGGCTTCTCGCTGGCTTTCGGTGCCATGTTCACCAAAACGTTCCGCGTGCACCAGATCTTCATCGGTAGTCGGACCGGCGTCATCAAAAACAAGGTGGGCTCTCCTCCGGTGTTGTGGACACCAGTGAGGCCAGCATAGTTTGAACGACACTGTCCGGTGTAGTGTGCATGGCACGCGGACTATACACCAGAGTCACTTATATACTGCATAATGCATCATATCCGCTCAATTATAATTTTTAAAGTTTGCATTCGTTGACGGAAACAATCCAAAAGCATTTTGATTTTTTAATTCTGTTCAGTAGAGCTTAAATGTTTTTTTTTTGTGGGGGGGGGGGGAAGCGAATAACGGATCTCTCCTTTGCCACTCATAATTAGGAGTATAGTCACTGTAGGTATTGTCACCTTGTCACTAAAAGGTTTAAACGACCTTGCCGCACACAGTTCCCCATTTTTGCATTTATGATGCTGATTGCATTGTGATTGCTTAGAATCGTTAGCAATCATCCCTTTCCTGCTCAACGAGGAATAACTCGAGCGAGTTTTCTTTCGCTTGGCAAAACAATTGTTCTTCTTACACACAACTTACCTCCTTAGCGCTATGTCGGTATTTAAGGGCAATTAGAAGACAATTGAAAATGGAACCATGCGGATATATTTTCCGACGGTAATAGAGATCGCAGTAGGTACTGTTGCAGCACCTCCCTTTCATTTAAGACATTTTGTGTGCATTATACGTGATTGAAATGCATTTAGCTGCATGCCAATTTTCAACGGCAGACATTTCTTTGATTTCTCTAGAAACAAATGTGAATGTCTGATGATTATTGAGATATTTGACGGATAAGGTTTCTGTTTTGTACTCTATTTGATCACCGAATGCTTTTAAAGCAATATTTTATGTATAAGTTCTCATATTGAAGTTCAACTTTGTTGGTAACGTTATACGGTTTTCTGCAGAGAACTTGGAAGGGCACGGTTAGAGCTACATACTTGTATGTACGCACATACTTGTATGGTTACGGTTATGATATGCTAGTAACTACGGTAACTACCTGTAGCGAAGTACAGTTTCCAAGAGGACATTTTAGATTTTGCAGAGCTAAAAATTTATTTCAGGTTTGTGATTGAGGGTGGCTCACATAACCAATTGGACATAAGTGGCAGCAAACACTCCATTTTTCTTCAATTCTAGTCCAGTATTTCTGAGTTTATCGACGATTTATCTCTAAAACGCACTAATTTCTTATTGATTAGGTATAGTTAAGCTGTTTAGCGAACAGCAATTGTTCAATGCTTATCAATGTGGTCTATCGTTTGAAATGGTGCGTCTCCAAAGCTTTTTGTATGGTGTGTGTTGCCGCCCTGTGTTTTCCCTGCTGTCGTTTGCGTGTCGGCGCCGTCTGAAGCAGTGCCGACTGCCAGCCGGCGACAAACCATTATTTACGGCCAATATGTGCGACTGTCTGCGCCGGGGGAGGCACCCGCTCTCCGGGGAACAATCTGCATCCGGCGCCGGCCGCGCGGCGGAAACAGTGGCGGCTGCGGTCTGCGGCAGCTGGGATCGGCACAGATTGTGACAGCTGTGACCTGTGAGCTGAACACAGCACAGACTCCTTTGACACAGACTGTGACCCCTGGAGTGTGACCGGAAGGCTGTTACAGCGTTGAACAGAGCGATCTTGCATTGCCAAGCTAAATTGCTATGAATGCGGCCTCAAGTGGTCAGGAACATAGGCGGCCATTTTAACATTTGCCCTACGGGCGTTGCATGGAAAGAATGGGACCAAAAGTCGGCCCCCTTAATTGAAGATGTTCCGCCGCCACTGGCCAGGAAAAATGTTGAATATGTTGTACAAGAAGAAAGGAGGCTGAGTAGGAGAAAAGAGCGATAAAAAGCGACTGTATATCCGACGTCATACTGATGACTGTGCAACTGTGACGTCAGAGTGGCGACTGTATATGACGTCAGAGTGGCGACTCAGCGCGAACGCTGTGTGATGTCGGGAGGTGCCATCCACGGGGGGGGGGGCGGTGATCAGGCGTAATGACCATTGACAGAGGCGGCGCTGGGAGGGAGGGGCGAGGAGGGGTTCGGTGATCGACCGTCCCCGATCACCACCCGGGCCGGACACTGCGGGAGGGGAGGGGGCAGGGGAGACGGGATGGGGGCGATCGGTGAATCAATGGTCACTGCAGTGTGGATCACAGTTCCTCCACACGGCTACTGATTCTCCTCGACTGAACCGAGGTATGGGCTGTCTTCTTCTGGTTTCTTTTTGTATTGGATCCAACCGATGAGGTGCTAAACGCCGAAGAGAAATATTAAGTTGACCCGTCATAGGCTGTTGATCCACTTTTATCACGCTCGTTAGTCGTTACTTTTACTTTTATGAGGAAAGTGAGGACTCATGATGCTAATCTATGTAATGAAACAATCGTCTATTCAATTTAATATTCAGATGAGCTTCAGTGTGTAATGCATAAATGCATACTGCGAGACGCGGGTGCTATAACGCACAGCGTTCTTTATAATCACCTGTTCACTCTGGTCATGCCTGATGGTTTTAGCGCTGTTTTGGCTGCCTCACGAAGGCCACCAATCTTTCGAGGCCGTCTCTGATGGACTGATTCCCTCCAGTCACGGTATGCACGTCCTGTACCGACCGTTGTCAGTCGGTCCGCCGTGGTTCGGTCGGTTCGGTTGGTAGACCGTCGGCGGACCACTAACATCAGTTGTAGTGCCTACCGGCCATATGGGACGCGTCGCCGGCACTGTGGGTCGTATGAAGAAAGACGTCCACTATTCGCGGCCACGGCGAGGGAAAACACTGGCACCATGGCTGTCCATGTCCTGATTTTATGACCCGGCTTTCACCTATGCACCTTACAAGTATGACAGCATGCAAGAAATAATAAAACACCCAGCAATCACAACTGGCGACTGCTCCCTCTCTTTCTCAGTCTCGGCTAGGTCCGCATATGTTTGCTAAATACCGCTACGCATTCGGGAAGTTCATCATTCGTTGACATTTTTTTCGCATTGTGTTATTGTAAGGTGGCCATCTTCCTGCTTACTTTTTGCGTCATTAAATACAGCGTAGTTTTTGCTTATCAACAAAGAACTGTGCCAATGAACTTCTTCCTCACGCACGTGTAACATTCCTGGCGCATTTTAACAGCAGCGAATTTCCTCGTTACATCTGGGCCTGCGTAACCAAAGAGGAGTTGTCAGCTGGTACTTTGGGAACCATAACGCAGAGCTCCTTTGTTGAGGTTTCCAGACCCGTTATAAGTTTCCCCGATAAAACCCTTTCTCTTCCCTCTGCGTATTTTACTTTATTTAACTAAGCAGCACTGGGGGTTTTCTCTGGCTGTTGGCAGTGCTCTATTTACCGGATAGGACGGGTTAACTAGCGGTCAGCGAGGCACGACGGTCGCGTGACAGACTGGTACAAACGCACTGGACTTGGCTAGAAATGTGTGTAATCGGATCGTGTGCTGCTTCCATGAGCTCATCTACTTACGGGACTCATATCAGTATCATTCGGGGAAAATAGGTATGCGTTGTATTTACATACAAATCGGAATAAAGTGTTGCGATATCACTGCAAAATCAAACAGTGATATCGAGAAAAAGAATATGCTTCCTGTATATGCAGATAAAAGGAAATGTGTGTTACATGTAACAAAGCCTCCTCATAGTAAACGTGTTATACTGGTAAAGACACACTTACACGTTCCCATAGGGGAGTGACGCGCGTGCCGTTGTGCTGCGCAGTGCGCTGTGCATTTGTGCAATGTGATTGCTTACATACCTACATTTGATCTTTTGTCGCTCTGCATCGGGTTTATATTGCTAATGTTTTACTTATGCACACTGAGCACGTAAAGCACATTTTAGTTTTAATTGCATTGTTGTTTAACCCGCACGGGGCTGGGGGGGTAAATTTTACCCCCCTCGCGAATTTTTGCAATATCTCGAAAACGGCGGCGCGCAGCGCCGCCAAACTTTCCGTACCTTTTCTTACATCAATTTGACACGTTCCCTGAAAATTTGAGCGAAATCTCTCGGAAATTTTTTGAGAAAATGACGTTTTAGTGACGTCATGTTCGCCATTTTCGCCTCAAAAACGGCAAAATTTCAAACGCCGCTAACATCTTCATTTTTAAGGGAATCAAGACGTAACAAAAAAGGTTATACGTGATTCTACTTTGTCTATCAAATGCCTATCTCATTTTTTTTTTGTTGAAAATAATTGATTTTGGCACTAGTTTTTTTTCTTCAAAAAATGACTTTTTTTGGGAAAATAATTATAAAATCCAAAATTTTGCGTGTATCGAAAAAAAACCGGAATACATGTCAGAGAAGTGGTATATGTGCACCTACATACTAATTTTTAGAAGAATCGGTTCAAAAATGTGGAAGTTATTCAAAATTGTATGACGTCACGACAAACAAATTTTGGGAAAAATGATTTTTTTTTGAAGTTCTAGACCTCGTACGGAAACAAAAATAGCACCATTCGATTCGCCGTGAAAAACTGCATCAGATAGACACCTTTTTAGGCCTTAACAACCAACTTCAAAATTTGACCTTACTTGACCTGACCTTGACCTGACCTCGACCTGAAATTCATTCAGATGTGGTCCATATCACATATTGAGTGTGCCTATTGAATTATATGAATAAAATGATCCATAAAACATGTGTCGCACATGGCCTTTTCTATATTTTGTTTTTGGTGACCTGACCTGACCTGACCTGACCTTGACCTTGACCTTGACCTCTGAATGATATTGTATGCAAGGAATATTGTCTTGGTAGCCTAAGAACACGTTTTGGGCAATCAGTCTCAGTCCATGACTCCATTCTTCGGCAACTACGGTGCAAGGCCGATACTGTAGAAATTTTCAATTTGTACCCTTGACCTGACCTTGACTTTGACCTCAAACTTTAAATTAAGTACATGTTTATAGTTGTTCGTGATGAGATCTTTCGATTGGCGTTTGAATTTTCCAAATCGGACCATTAGTTCGGGAGATAACAGGGGGGGGGGGTAAAATTTACCCCCCCCCCAGCCCCGCGCGTTCGGCTGGAGACCCCAGCCCCGCGCGAGTTAAATTAACCGTTAAGTGCTATTTACTGATGCATGACAAAGTGCAATAAAATTAAGTGCTTTGGTAATGCGCCTACGTGTTTCCCACTCCAGAAACAAAAAGGAATCGAAGGAAGTGCCACTTTTAGTCCACCGATCCATTCAGCACCACGGTGTAAAAGCGTGAACAGATTCATGCGATATAGTGTTACAGATTTGCTCTGTCAGCCTACCGGCGTTATCAGTCTTGCGAGAGGAACTTCTGACAAGCAGTTAGCGGCGTCCACCCTGAAGCTTTTCCCGAGTCTGTTGATCTGATGGCGCAGCTGATGGCCCTGATCCTGTTTTTTTTTTTTTTAATCCTGAGTCTGGTGACCTCCCGACTTAGGCGCAGATGCTGTACGACTGAGGACACGTAGCTGAAGGCACTACTCTTGGTATTGTTGCTGAGGCTGCTGCTGAGTTTGCTGCTATGATTGTTGACGTCCTAGCTCCTGACCACGTTACCACGTTGTCCAGAGGTTGCAGGGCACGCAGCTGATGATGCTGTTGTTGATTTTGATCCTGAGAACGCAGACTCCGTGATCACGTCCGTGCGGTGTTTCTAGATGCTGCAGAGCACGCAGCTGTTGGCGCTGATCCTGGTGCTGCTGCTGCTGCTGAGGCTGCTGCTGCTGAGGCTGAGGCTGCTGCTGCTGCTGAGGCTGTTGACCATGTTGACGTCCCCGCGTTGTCCACAGATGCTGCAGGACACGCAGTTGATAGCGCTGATCCTAGTGCTGTTGCTGATCGACTGTGTCATCGCCACGCTGTGGGTGACGCTGGACCCGCTACAGCGTCAGCTACGTAACCTGACTATGGAGTACGCTCCTGGGGACCGCGGCGTCGTCTACCTCCCGCAGGTGAGGCGTGAGGCTGTAGCAGAGGTGGGCACTAACAGATGTAAACGAGGGAATTTCTAAGGCGGAAGGTCCTAAAGACTTGTGAGGCAAGCGCCTCCTCAATCACTTAGGCTAGAAGTAGGTACTCGATTTCTTGAATAATTAGTTCAACTAGACATCTTTGCAGTTCTGTTAGATCATATGCAAATTTTGCCTTAGCTTTGTCGATCTTCCGTCTCTCGCGAACATATATGTAGACATTTATGTATTCTTGAACTCAGCTTCCGTCCTCTTGGAAGCGTTGGTATCGTTCTTTGAAAATGTTTGCGGTACCTACTCGGCCCAACCGCCGAAGGCCACATACATGAAGACACAACGTTCTTCCCATTGGTGGGGGTAATAAATTGGTTCAGAATATGCATGACTTCGAAGAACACGTCGTTTAGGCACATGCACCTGTGCAGACTAGAATAAGCCAATAAGAGTGAAAGTGACTAGAGCATTCGTGGTGTCCGGTTTTTGTTGGATTTCCCATCTGACTAGGACCACTGTTGCGCCAGGTGGTATCCCGTTTGAAGAGACATATCCGGTCTATGGATCTGCTTAATGTGAGCAGTTGTAATGTACGTCCATCCATACACGTGAACAGCCATGCATGTTATGTGGATGTCATTTGCGAGCAGATGTTGAGATGTAGCCTTTTCTGTGATTCACACGTGTCAATAAAACATCAACAAACGCCGTAGCCGTTCGTTCCAGTCGCCTCTAAGTCACATATCATTATCTCAAAAGCTACTGTAGCTATCAGCTGATGTTTATACCCTGGCTAGCCTCAGGTGTTCTCTGCCCCTTTCAGGTGGAGGTGTGCCATTCTCAGCACGAGCACAAGTGGCTGGGCGCTCTGTACGTCTACAAGGGCCTCCTGCTAACCGTGGCAGTGTATATGGCGTGGGAGACCAGGTTAGTGTCACGCCCACTGATTCTCACTTTTCTGTCCTATTCGGAGCTTCTCGGATATATGCTTCTGTCTTTATCATTGGCATCGCCAGTTGCTACAATATATTTTTCTCAAAGTGCGATAACTATGCATGCGTCTGGCTGGAGGCCGTTACCTTATCTCTTTCAGCATTAGTTCCGTATCACGGACTGCCCACCCATCCCGTTTCAGAGGGGTGAAGATCCCCGCGCTGAACGACTCCCGCTACATCGGGCTCAGCGTGTACAACGTGGTCATCACGAGTGTGATCGTAGTCACCATGGCCAACGCCGTCTGGGACCGGGTCACCCTCGCCTTCGTCCTCATCGCGTCCCTCATCATCATGTCCACCACGACCACACTCTGTCTGCTCTTCCTTCCAAAGGTGGGTGCGCTAGTCAGGGGTTTCGGTAGGCTCAGCTTGGTGAGGGCAAGGCCGGTGAGGGTTTGTTGATTGGGAAGGTCATAAAGAGCCCATGAGTATGAGAAGAGAAGAACCGGACTTAGTCGATAGCAAATAGCGGAAAGGTGGTGGGCAGCCTGATAAAGGTGTCGTAACCTTACCTTACTCTCCTCTGAAGAGCCCCTAAGAATGCCCGAAGCACTCAGGCATCTAAAGCTGCCTCCTCTCCAGTGCAGGATGCTGCTCATTGCTGGCTCGTAGTGCTGGAATTCAGCACGATTGCATGCTACAAACATTTAAGCATATAGGCGTTGACGATACTTTAGACGCTCAGTAGCTCCTGCCTTATTGGACGATGATGAATTACTGTGGGGCACTTGGCTGTTGTGGCAGCAGTGAGGACTTGAAGTGAGAATCGAGCTCATCAGTCTTCTCTACTCCTCTTCTCTGCCGCTCGAGTCTAATCCCCTTTGGGGCCGCGCTGCTGTTGAGCTGTTGTGTCGTGTCACCGTGTCCGGCTGGAGCCCGTTAGCGCCGCCTAAATTGGTCTGACAGGTGCGCTCGGCCTGCCCGCGGGCGGGTCCGACCCCCGTCGGAAGTAGCCCGCAGGTCCGGCTTTGCAGCGGCGAACAAACACAGGGATTATTGGCCGTCAAATATGAAGGCAAACAAGAGGCCACTGCCTAAAATAGAGTTTACTTTGTTCTTCAGCTGCGCAGTATGTGAACTCATGATTGACTGATGACTGAATTCATCGTGAACTTGGGCGGATACATTTGTTATTCATTCATGTGCATAGTTCCGGAACTTTTATAGCATTCTTTATTCAAATCCAGCTGAGCAAAACATGTTCTCTTACACCTTGTCTGCAATTCAGCGCTAGATAAGCCATGCCTTGACTGTCAAAGGTCCAAGGGCGCTAGCCTGAATGGTGTGTGGACTCAACTTCCGACAATTTAATTTGCCTCAACAATAAGCTGGCTTCGCTCACGTCCCGCCCCTGTGTCGCTCCTTATTCTGTAGCGGGTCTGGATTCACGGCACGTCGCGGCTCATAGTCACCGAAGCGTCCTCTGTTCCGCTGGTGAGGACCATGCAAAGCCGCCGGCCGCCGGTCAGGGGGCGATTTTTGTACCGCGCCGTGCGATGGTCCGATTAGAACCAGTTTGCCGGCGCGGTGGCGGCGCAGCGGCTATAAGGCGGCTGGTCGCGCGGCCGGCGGCCAGTGTGGTGCGGCGCGACTCGCGCGCTCCGGAGCGGGATGGCGGAGGCGCTGAGCTGCGTGCTGCTGCTGCTGGGGACGGCGGCGCTGGCGGCCGGACAGCTGTTCGACTGCCGACGCGACCAGCGACACGTCAAGGAGGGCGACACCATCGTGCGGGACTGCCAGCGACTGATCTGTGTGCGCGGCGATTTCGAGCCGGATGGCTGCGAGATCAGCAACGCCTGCCGCGGCCGCTGCAGCGCCACCGGCGGCGCCATCGTGTTCAGTCCGCCGTTCCTCGTCAAGCTGCCGGTGAAGCTGCCGCCCAAGGTGCCGACCAAGCCGCCCGGTCCGCTGCCGGGACCGCTGAGCGGAGTGTTTCCCCATCCACCTCCGCTGCCGCCTCGCAGCGATGTGCAACAAGTGCAGCCACCGAAGCAACTGCAGCCTCTGAAGCCGCTGCGTCCGCTGCAGCCGCTGCAGCACCTGCAGCCGCTGCTGCCGCTGCCGCCGA